CACACACACATACACCGACTACATACATCATCACTAACACTTGCATACCAACGCAGCAAAGAAAAACAAGTATTTTCAGTTTGCTCGCAGCAATAACACAGCAGCAAGAGTAGGAGACGAGAAACTGTCAGGAAAAATTATACTAAAAAGTTTTTGCAATAAGAACGAAATTCATACCCAAAGATGGCCGCTTTTGTGAGATAAATAATTACAAAAATTTAGCATAACTGTAGATATATTCAAGCGCGCAAAACCACAAAAACCTAAACAATCAAAATCAAGTCAAACAAATCGATTTTGTTGCAGTCAAAAATAAAGCGAAATACATACATTTCCACTCAATTAGTTATTGTGTTTATGCATTTAGTCAATGTCGCGCAAATTTGCTGTTTATTTCAATGTGAACACTTACAGTCGTGCTGTTTAACATTTCAACGTAAGAAACGCAAAGTAACAACAAAAGCACAGCGCTAAACGAAGAAGCTAAATTAAAAACAGAAAAACCGAAAAAATTGAGAAATTCAGTCGACTTGCAAATGATAATTAAGTGCAAACAAATCAAAAAATAGTCATACAGCAAAGTTAAGACAGCAGCCGATTTGGAATTAAGTATTTTAACAGAGGAGCATACACAAAAAGTCAAATTGAATGCAAAATGTCTAATCCAAATAATAAAACAGCGCAAAAAACAACATCAACAACGACGACGGCAACGACGACCACGTCGTCGTCATCAACAACGGCAAACAAATCGCCTGAACAAATGAACATGTCATTTTCTCAAACGAATTCATGGACAAACGGTAAGGAAACTACTGATACCTATTCCAGTTTATTTATATTTTTTTTTTTCGCCACATTTTGTTGTTGCCGTTTTATTTTTCGTTGTTGTTGTTGCTGCTGCTGCTGTGTTGCTATCGTCATTTTTACCCTTTTCACAGCCGAGTATTCTGCTTTTTTTGTGTTGTATTTTCTTGTCGCGTGAATTATGTTTCCGTACACTGATTTAGTGTGAAACGGTTTTTTATCGATGCAATATAGACGCCATCGATATCTATAAATACAAAGTCGTTTATATTTATTTTCAACCGATTAACTAACTCAGTGTACTACACAATGGATTTGCCTGTCGAAGCTATTCGAAGGTGTATTTAGTTTGTTTATTTGATTGCGTTGTGTATATATATATATATATATAAATTTGTTTCTTTTTTCCTTCGTATTCCGCTATTCTATGTTACAGTGGAGTCGTTGAATAATGGCCATTTATTGTTATCACCGCCGCATAACAATTCGCATATGCAACGGGAAAATATGCAAGTGACACAACCATCGAGCATTCCATCGTCGCCGTTAACATCGCCAGGTGCCCAGAGTTCCACATCGTTTACAATGCCAAACAATACCATGTTCACGATTGATACGGGCGATCCGAATTGGCAAGCAACCAAACCAACAGTACGCGAACGAAATGCTGCCATGTTCAACAACGAACTCATGTCCGATATTAGTTTCATTGTTGGCAGTGACGGTAAGTGCATGTGTCTTTGGTTTTTGTTTTTGTTTAAATTATTCACTCATTGCTGTGTGTATCCTTGGCATTGGATCACATTTCAATTTCCATTTTATTGATTTATTGATTGCAACCAATTTGTTTTTTTTCTTCTCTCTTTCTCTCTCTCTCTCTCTCACTTTTCACCATGTAAAATTATGCAGATAATATTCAAACGATTCATTCACACAAATATGTGTTGGCAACGGGAAGTTCCGTATTCTATGCTATGTTCTATGGCGGTTTGGCAGAGAACAAAAAAGAAATTAAAGTTCCTGACGTTGAACCATCGGCCTTTTTGACGCTACTTAAGTAAACAGACCATTTTTTCTTTGAATCCTAGTTTTAACCATGCAATCGATGAATGACTCATTATCCACAGCTCAAGGATAAACAATTTTAAACGTCCATTCTTATCTCTCTCTCCTTCATATAGGTATCTGTACTGTGATGAGATTTATTTAGAAGCAGACAACGTATTGGCTACATTGTATGCAGCTAAAAAATACATTGTACCACATTTGGCTCGTGCCTGTGTCAATTATTTGGAAACTAGTCTAACGGCAAAGAATGCTTGTTTATTGCTAAGTCAATCACGTCTGTTTGAAGAGCCCGAATTAATGCAACGATGCTGGGAGGTCATCGATGCACAGGTATGTGATCGATTAGATAATTTAAATGTCAGTCAAAGCTGCACGAAAAACGATGCAAATGCCGTTAGCACACGAGTTGATTTATCATCAATCCGCACACAAACCAATGATACAAATCGCAACCATAGCTACAGCAATCATATTTACATCAACAACACATCCATTTATAACAATAACGACACCGATAAATACAATAGTACAGCAAGCTCCTAACACACAAAAAACAGATAGATTCCGACGGAGAGAAAGCGAGTGAAAGACAAATCGAGAATCTCAAATTTTTCATATCACATCGATTTATCATTTTGTTAACTCAATAATTCAGCTTTTCTTCACCGATAATAAATCGGCGAAATTGATCTGCAATACCATGACTGATTATTATTTAGGTGTATTGCCGTTTGATCAAAGCCAATTTTTGTTTTACTATTCGATGTGGTAATTTGTTTTGTTTTTCAAAAGAGAAAAAAAAATAAGCTAATCGGTCCAATACAGTGTATTTACAGTTTATTGTCACTTTTTTAAATCATAGAACGAGATCGATTTCACTATTGAATCGAGTGAGGAATATCAATGTCTATCTGTGTTGTAATTCGTAACGAAGAAGAAGAAGAAGGAGAAGAAACAAACAAAGCATATCTATAATAATAAACTAACAAAATATCAATGTGTGTTGTGCTCTTTAGATAATTAAAATGCAGGAAACACAGACGGAATGCTGTGTCTGCTCTATCTGTCTTATGTGTTGTGTCGTGATTTATTGTAAACTATTGTTAACACAAACAAACAAAATATATATATATACCATTTTATGGAAATTGAAAATGAATCGAATAAAACAACAATGCAAGAAATTAATTTAGAAATTGTGTATGCACTTAATTGAGTATTTCGATTCGGGAATTAATGCAAAAAGAAGAAAAAACAAATGCTGCGAATGGTTGAGGCACATTTCCATCAAACAGATAGAAAAAAAAATACTAAAAATCTAACACATTAAAATCTTTTTTCGGTTGAATTTGGGTTGACACATAGAATTATTAGCAAAGAAAATTTGTTTTGTTTTAGTTTTCTTTTCTAGAAAAATGCTTTGATTTCAAAGGCGAAAAAAAACGATTTCATTTTATTTTTCTTTTCTCTTTTTTATCTCTTTGTGGTCTCTGTTCGGTGGTCAATCAAATTCAAATGCACATACACACACACACACACACACACTCATCCACACGGTTATCTAGGCTGAAATGGCAATCAAATCGGAAGGTTTTGTCGACATCGATATGAAGACATTCGAATCGATTTTGGGCCGTGAAACGTTAAACTGTCGCGAAATTCATCTGTTTGAAGCAGCACAAACGTGGGCACAGGCGGCATGCGCCAAAATGGACATCGATCCATCGCCACAAAATCGACGAAATGTCTTGGGCACCGCACTGAAAATGATACGCATCCCGACCATGACATTGGAAGAATTTGCAAATGGGGTGGCACAAACGGGTATTCTGACACCGCAGGAAACTATTGATATTTTTTTAAGTTTTACAGCAAAAAAGAAACCTAATCTCGAGTATTCGATCAAATCACGGGCTGGTCTAAAATCACAAGTGTGCCATCGTTTCCAATCCTGTGCGTATCGCAGCAATCAATGGCGCTACCGCGGACGCTGTGATTCAATACAATTTTCGGTGGATAAGCGCATTTTTATTGTGGGCTTTGGACTGTATGGTTCATCGACTGGTGCCGCCGAATATAATGTGAAAATCGATTTGAAGCGGCTGGGCTGTGTGCTGGCCGAAAATAATACGAAATTCTTTTCGGACGGTTCAAGCAATACGTTTCATGTGTTCTTCGAGAATCCGATACAGTGTGAGGCGGATTGCTGGTATACGGCCTCCGTGATTTTGGATGGCAGTGAATTGAGTTTCTTTGGCCAAGAGGGAATGACGGAAGTATGCACGGGAAATGTAACATTTCAATTTCAATGCTCGTCAGACAGTACCAACGGTACGGGTGTTCAAGGTGGCCAAATACCGGAATTAATTTTCTACGGTCCAACCATGGCATGCACAAACGATACAAATATCACCAATACTACGCCGTCATCAACGAAAAATGCATCGTCAGTCATCCATTCATCCAATCTATCACCGTCGCCAACCACTCAGAATGTTAGCAACAGCAGCCGGCACAGCAGTGCAAGCAGTTCAACAAATGAATAAACAAAATGTGTTTCATGGAAACCGAATTGCCAAGATTTCCCCCGTTTCTTTTTCGTCTTGCAAAACATTCGTTTGCACTGGATTTTTCTCAACAACAACATTAAAAAAAAACATGATGAAATCTCAAGCAACCACAACAAAAAAAAAGACAGTAGTATTATTATAGTAATTCTGTGCATTATTTGAACTTTTTACATTATTATATATTACGTAGCCTCTGCTTAGCAGAAAAACATTTATCGAGAAAATAAGAGTATTTTTCTTCTCATTCCCTTTTTATGTTAAAACTAAACAAAAAAAAGAAAAAAAAATTAATTTTCTTTTTCTTTCGCCAATGGAAAAATATGTGTGGAAACAAAACTAAATTTACCATGAATTAAATCTCTACCATATTGTTTCGATCAAAATTTAGACATTAGTTTTCTTTTTCGGCTCTGTAAAACATGTTAATGAAAATCATACACGATTCTCAACGTTTCCTTGGGAACGTCTACCTTTGCATTGCTACATCTTTTTTTTTATAAATAAAACATATTGATTACTAGGAAATGCCCTGTGTATTTTTCAATTTATATATTAATCACTCGCTGTTGACTGTTCGTTCGATCGATCGTACACTAAAAGAATTTCGAAAGGAAAATCAACCGTTTTCCCACATCTTATACTCACCAATTGAAGGTAGGTTAATGCACAATGCTTGAGATAATTTCAAATAAGTACGGCCCAATTCGTAGCAGCATATTTGCAAGACGTCACTGATATCAATTAGTAAATCTGCATTGGGGAGGTGAGAAATAAAAGGTATGTAAAAATGAAACACAAAAATCGTTTGATTTGTGATTGACATACGTGATGTGCCCTCCGTTCGACATGTGATATAAACACAGGCTGCATAAATGTGAGTATTCTTTCGTCCTCTGGTCAAATGTCGCATCAAAGCCATTTTAAAGAAGTTGCACGCCGTATCGATGCAATGATTGTTCAAATGCAGCTGATGACTTAAATGTGTGATACCCTGTCGAGCTTTACGCAATGTAACCTCACGCGATTCGGTGCCAACACCAACATGAAATTTTCCATAACCCGTTGCGCCACCCTTTGAATCAGCCGCCACAAATTGTCCAACCGCTGAACTGGTACCATGTGCCGCCTCTTCAAACTGTACTTCACTGACAATAATGTTATCCTCTATCACTGAACCGCAATTCGTACACACGGCATCACCTCGCCCACAATCCACTTCAATATTCGATGATCCACAATTCTTACATTTCAAACCGCTTGCCATCTTTCCAAGGGGTGTTGTATACTGTTTTGGCAATGAAAATACAATTGATACGCGTCTGATCTAATTGAATTGGTTGAAATTTCTTTTCACAACCCCGTATAGACACACAATGTGTGTTGTGATAGCTTAGTTTAGAGAAAAACGAAACAACAAAACATTCACTTATTTTTGAATTCAATGTGCGGTGTGTTTGAATGATGTACACCGTTTTGCATCACATATTTACAGCTTCACATTAAATGGATTGAATTTTGAAGTCAAGATTGCGGTCTTTTAGTTTGAAATTGTACGAAAACAATTTTCAGGTTTCCATCGGGGCAATAAAAATGTATTTGTGATCTCTTGTCAATTGTGTGGACGACTAAACACGACATACATACTGTTTTCTGGTTGGGATTTGACAGTTTTGAACTTATTTCGAACGCAATTCGAAAACATGATTTCGCACACGGCCAATGACAGACGTCATTTTCGAAATTGGTCGTCGTGTTGAGAAGCCCTTAGGTCGTTGTGACCTGTTCACATTGATGATGCCCAATTTTCGAAAAAAATCAAATAAACCATTTCAATTCTTCGCTTTTTTTTTTCAATATTTTTAAATTCCAACATTTTTCTTAAATTCATGACTTTCACAATAACGATGTTAGTTTTTTTTAAAGTTTTTTTCATTTCACAGCATCTTTTACGTATTCTTCATTTCGTCTTTTTTTCTTGTCTTCATTTTTTCTTGTCTTCATTTTTTTTCATCAGTCAATATAGTAAGTACTTATATGTAAGGTGTAAATTCGATCGGTAGTCCGTACTAAATTAATATTCAATGTCAAATCCCGAGGCATCACCCTGAATTTTGAACTGATCTTGCTGCCGCAAACGCTCCATAGCTTCATCTTGCGTCAGGAAGTGTTTATCCATGAACACTTGTAGTGCCCATTCCGGCAACAAACATTTCCAAATTAGATTCTCGTGCTACAAAATGTCAATAATTTAAATTAATTGAATTTCCTGATTTTTAAATTAACTAAATATCCAACACATTCGTCATAAATGAATTTACAATTGAGTTACACTTACTTTTGATGTAATGGCATCGAGTGGGTCGGATTGGCAAAATGTTTGACGTAGTTTTTGATACATTTCTATTTGCTGCTCTGGTTCGACCAATGCATCCAAAATCAATAGATAATCGCACTCATCGTGACACGGATTGATTGTATGGTCTGGCACCTTTGCATAGTTGCGGAACTTTTTCCGCAATGCTGTTTCATGATCAAGAAATGTTTCCATGAGTTCAACCTTCGACATATCTTTTATATTACTAAAAATGGAATAAGGACCAATTGGTTTGATTGAAGAAAAAAAAACTAGGAAAATCAACAATTCAATCGAAAAATGCATACATAATGTTATCGATGGTAACCGGTTTGTCCATTTGTTCAAATTCCTCTCGAAGAGCACGCAATTTTTTGGCTTCTTCATCTTTTGCCGTTGTTCCATTGGCGTTAACGTTTTCAATTTTGCGTTTCTTTTGTACATCATCGGGTGCACCATTTTCGATGGGATTCGGAGTCTTTTTGGAATGTCTTGTCGTTACCTAAAAATAGAAGCACAGCAAAAAAAAATCAGAGCGATATGTTGATTATGATATAACATTTCAAATTACCCAATCTTCGATTTTTGGTTGGTGTTTTTCTTTCGACGAGTCGGTCTGAATTGTTTTCTTGGCCGAACGTAAATTCTTATTCAGACGGCTGTTGCTATCATCTGAATCGCCTCCAAATAAATCGTTAATTTTCGGAGCGTCGCTGCGTTTCTTTTTGCTCACAAAATCATTACGATTTACATCAGTTTTCATGTTCAATTTGTGCTTGGTGTTCTGATCTTTATGGCTTTTGATCTCGCCAATTTTGGTGGGTGTATAGGTAACAATGTCATCAGCGCCATGTGTTGGTGAGTATTCATTGGATTTATCAGATTTTTCGTTGCTGCTTGATACCGTCGACGGAGTGTATTTGAAACTGTTTGCCACACTGCCAGCTGGCACATATTCTTCAACATCGACCGCCGATGATGAATCATTCGATTTGCGTTCTCCATTCGATTCGTCCGATGACCGAACGGTAGACTTTGATTTTGTCGCCGGCTTTTCAGTAGTCAATTTCTCTTGTGAATGTTGCTTTTTATACTTGTCCAGCGCTGATACCATGACAATTTTGACCACCATTACATAGGGGCATAGATCAGCTTTCTTCAATTCTAGGTTCACAATTTCTCTGTGATACGGTTGTTTACTTCGCCATGACACTTTTAGCTCCAACTGAGCTCGACGCATCGTAATGATTTCCTCTTTCAAACGTGTATCAATGCCACTTCGGTACCGTTCCAACGGCTCTTCGAGCTTCGCATAGATTTGTGTCCAAACATCGAGCCCAACATATTTATCGAGCGAAATGCCATCAACTTGTCTACCGTTTGATTTGATATCGTGCGTGTCGAATTGAAACTGTACGACCAACACTTTATCGTTTACCTGCCGATAAAAGACCAGAACGAATGCATTCGATTCAATTGCACAATTTTTGTTTACAAACAAACAAAAGTACTTTCGGTTTACCTGTCGCCGTTCGAAGATGATCGTCATGATTCAAGGCACTTTTCGAGACCATCAAGCTTACAAACTAATTATAAAAAAAATATTTAGTGAAATTTTAAGCGAAAAGACAACAATTCAAACTCGGTAAATAAATATACAAATGTTGCTGATAAAGCACTTTGTGAACATGACGGTCAGACAACTTACTTTCGCTCGCTTTTTTGACACATTTCAACACGTACACTAATGCAACGACAACTTTATTCGAATTTTCGAACATTCGAAATTGCGAAATGAGCAACAACAACATTCAATAACAACACAAGTGCCGTTAACCAATCATCGCACTATTGAGATTCGCTAAAGAACATTTGTTGCAATCTTTTGTTTTAGATCGATTTTTGTTTTCTTTCAATTTGTTTTACGTAAACTTGAAATGATGGATGATTACCGGCAAGTGTCGGGAAATAGGTATGTCAACATTGATATTGTTGTACCGGCAATAATGCGAGACGCAGAATTGATGGAATTTTGTTCGCTGTTTGGAACTGTCAATTCAATCACACGATCCAGCATGCAAAAATCGTATGCAACAGTTCAATACATGGACCAAAGGTAACAAGCGCAATGTCATCAATAAATTTTTTATTTCATAGCGTATTTATTTCAAATCAGTTTCCATGATCCTGTTCCCAATCAAAGGCCACCAAATGTACCACATACACTGTCAGATGTGTATAAATTCAATCTGCTCAGGACTGAGCATTTGAGACGTAATGGAAAATTCCTTTCGGATTTGTTGAAAACTTCGGTCGTGGAAACTAAAGAACGTGCGTCTAGAGACGAAAATCAGTGAGTTAGAACAACTTTTATATATGATGTGCCGATAAACAATTTTGCCATTTCTTTTAGGAATGTTGTGGAGCCATCAGAGAGTAGTTCGTCGTACCTCGAGTGCACATACTGTTATTCGGTGGCCGATTTTCTATGTGGACGATGCCGATCTCCATACTGTTCGACTAAATGCCAAAACATCGACTGGCTGAAACACAAAAAAGCCTGTTCCAAGGTGAATTATTGCCCAAGACAAATTGCCACAAGTGAGAAGTCGTTTCCAAAACTTCAAGAAAATAAGTCTCGATAAGGCAAATGGAAAGAAATACCATAGATTCTATTCACATAATGATCTCATTTGGGAGAGAGTTATTTTAAGATTTGTTTGGCATTATGATGGCAATTTTTTTTTCTGTTATAATCAATGTACATTTTATAATCAAATCAGATTCAAAAATAAACATCCGTAAGGAAAAGTACAGACCCTCTCAAACATGTCTTTCTATTCGATACGAAATAGTGAAGTAGTTGAATTCCAAGAAGAAAGAAGGAAAAAAAAATGACGCAGTCGATTAGATGTTATGCATGGAATAAGCTTACTAAGCCAAAATGTACGTGAGGAATAGGTAATAAGTCATTAAACGAAACGCACACCAAAAATTCGAATGTGTGATCTAAATGATGTAATATGTTATAAATGCATTCAACACGTATCGCGAATTAAGTGATGACGCAAAAAAAAAACAAAATAGTCACCGATTTTATGTTCTATGCGAATCACAAAAAAAGAAAACGATCTAATCGAGTGAGTGAAAGATGCTATTTATTTCAAATACCTGTTACCAAGTCGATGCGTGTATATGCGCAAAATTTGAAACATTGCGGAACCAACGAAACCGATTCGTCCAAAAGAATTGAAATGCACAAAAATCGATTAATAAATTTTATGACATGTTCTTTTTTGGCCATCAAAACACATGCACATTGAATACGAAATGGTTTTTTTGATGTCGCTTCTTCGTTTTGTGCAGATTAAGTGCCGAAATTTCCTTATGTGATACTCGTGCGTTGAGTTCGGCTATGGTATGTCTGGGGCGTCATTATTAGTATTACGCCAAAATGGAATTGAAGCAAAAACAACAATAACAAGCGCGTTAGTAGTGTTTTGTGTGCAAATCATTTGCACTGAGCTGCATGTCAATGACGTGAATCGAACGGATGAAACAAGGTTAATCGTTAGATACGACGATGCAACATTGTGTGGCACTTCAGCCTTACGCTGATGTTATCATTTATTCCGTATAATAATATGACTCATGCCAAACTTTGCGTGTAATACTGGAAAAAAAAAAACAAAATAAAGAATTATTTTCTTCAAGTCATTTTTCTGTTTCTTCTTTCTTCATTTTGCTACTTCAATGCGAAAGGCGCGAAGAATTTAGTGAAAGAACCACAATAAACGTTGAACATAAAATGAATTGATCAAATCAACAAGTGGCAACGAAATTTATGTGATTTGACGCACGTAAGCACTTGCTTGTTTTCTCCACCCGCAAATGAAATAAATAAAATTCGCACGATGAGCACAATAGATAAAAAAAAATGTTTTAATGCAAAACCCCTTGCGACATTAGCATTCATAACCGTATACGTATGATTATCATCCGGAATGAAGAAGTATGCGTTGATGGGTTCTTGCGCCCATCTTACGCGTACTTTTATTCAAATCGATAGTACAAATGACCAAAAATAGAAGAAGAAGATCAAGAGAAGCACAACAACAGCATGGGTCAAACATGTGTGAACAGTTGTCACACAAATGAATTAATTCAATAGACCAATGTTGCGATGAATCACGGACAATCGCTAATTCAGCCGTGTCAAATAGAGTACAGCTAGTCCTTCTAATTGGATTCAATTTCCTCCCCAAAAAAAAACGAATATGATGTGAGAAAAGACTAGCAAAGAGGAAAAAGCAAACAGTTTACGGATTCGATAGGAGTTTTATGGCATTCATCTATGCGTTTAAAATGATCATCGTACTCACCAACGAAGTGTTTCTATTCCAAAACCGATAAATTCTTTTAATATGCATACGAGAGCATAAAATCGAACGTTTCTCGTCATGAATACCAAAACGGATCCATCTAAGATCGAGTCTAAGTATAAAATGCCCGAGATCCAACCAAATGATCATCATTCGATCGGTGGAAATTCATTGAAGAAGTTTAGCTCCAAATCGAATTTTTTTCTCTCTTATTGAAATTAAATCAAAAAAGATCTTTTTTTTTCTTCTGAAATTGAATCCAAGTTTGATCTTGAGTACATTTATATTATTTTCTATTGAACAAAATAACAATCGAATTCAAAATGAAAGTGTGTGCAGTTATCAGCGCTTTGTGCTTTATCTCATTGGTATCGGCATTGCCAGTTCAGAATGGTATGTTTGTTTGGAAGAGAAATTGAAGTTTAAAACAGAAAAAAAACCGTTCAGTGTTTATTGAACTGAAGTGTTGTTGTTTGTACTTTTTCTTCATTCATTTCGTCATTTTTCTCATTGCAAAGGAATGATGTATTATCAAATGCCATACTACAATCCATACCATCAAGCAATGCTCGTACATTATGCGCCACCATCTTATGGCCGTTCAGCTGGTACAAGTGCATTTGCACAAGGTGACGTCGTGGCTGCTGGGACAATAGTCAAAGGTGCTTAGTAAACAAAAATTTGTTAACCAATTTATTGCATCACCAGTTTCAAAAAATTGCTAACAAAAACGTTCCATTCGATAGAAAGCCGTATTCCAACCTATGTTGCAGGTACCAATAGTCAATCATCATCGAATGATGGAAATGTTGAGGCCATCGCTGAAGCATATCCAGAGGAACCAATTCAAGGCACCGTTCAATTTGATCAGGTTGACGAACAATACAATGATGTGATTCCATTGAATGCGGCTCCTGTATCGGAAACACCAAAAGAAGCCACCGAAGTTGCTCCACAAGAGCCAGAAATCACTGCCGTCGTCTCTGAAGAGCCACAAGTACAAACAACTGTAGCACCCAAAAAGAAGGTTCACATTGCCCTTGACATCCCGGAGAAGCACGACAATGTTGAAGGCGATGACGAAGATGATTATGTTCCATACGCCCCACAAAATCCAAACAAACCATCGAAAAACCAAGGTGGCAACCCAGTTTACACTTTCTTCCCCGTTAGCTTTGGCCGTGCTGCCGGCGGTACCATTGCCGTTGCAAATGCCTACAGCACCGGCAAAGGTGCCGTTCGTAGCCATGCTATCGCCTATGGCGCATCGGCTGGTACATCGCGAAGACAACAAGCCGCCGAACGTAGCGTTGCCGCACCAAAAAGTGCATAAACAGCCGTCACACTAAACCGATTGCCTGAAAGAAATTACAAATGCGAAATAGTAAATACAAACAACACCGAATTAAATAGCGACAAAGAAAAAAAAATATAAGCCAAAACGTGCGCTGAGATTTGTCACGATCAAATGTACAAGTGTGAATCACATGTTACAGCTGGAAAAGAAATATCAAGAGCACATAAATTATATACTTTGCTCACATTTTGCATGATGGTACACCATCGTTCCATTCAACTTTGGTGACATCGACACGTACTCGCGCATAAGACATATGGCTTATTATTTCCTTTTTCTGTCGCCTCAAGCATTTCGCCTCAATATTAAAAATTCATTTGCTTAAGTTCTCTTCAATGTTCAATTATTCAAATAAATCTTGTCAAATGAAATCAAAACAAACGTTGAATTACTCTTTTTTCCATACTCACTGTGATCTCTTAGTTGCTGAAATTGATTCGAAAAAGATTTCTTGTCAATTACGGTGTTTGATGAAGCATGCAAACATTCTGACTTATTTGTCATTTTAAGTGATGTAGGTGTTTTGAATGAATTTTACACACAGAGAAGAATGGTTGAGATTTTTGGTACAATTGATTGTTTTTTTTTCCGTAAAAATAATCCAAAATTAAGATATCTAAAACAAAATGCATTTTCTTTCATACATATTCTGTCTGAAAAAATAAATTTTGTCTTTGTTATCTTAATTTTGGATTATTTTTACTAGAAAAAAAAAATCGATTGTACCAAAAATCTCAACCATTCTTCCCTGTGTGTACTGTAGCGTAATTGAAATTGTTCTTGGATCGATGGAAAATAAAACGGACAAATCTTAAAATACCAAATGTTACAAATGCTCCACCAAAAAATTCAGGGGGGGTCAAGCCAAAAATTCAAGGGGGGGTCAAAAAAATCAATTCTATCTAGTGTAAATTTCTTCCCGAAAAAAATTGCTGACCGGGGGGGGGGGGCCCCGATCCGCAATTTCTAATTTGAAGAGCAAAAAAAAAGGTCCTCACTTTCAAAACTCAATTCTATCTAGTGTAAAACCGGTATCCAGAACAAAGTGAGGACTTAAAAAAAAAAAAAAGGTCCTCACTTTCGAAAATCCATTCTATCTAGTGTAAAACCGGTATCCAGAAAAAAGTGAGGTCTAAAACAACAAAAAAGGTCCGAAAATGCCAACGGGTCCAAAAAATCGTTGGGGGTCAAATTTGGCCAGGGGGGGTCAAATTTTTCCAGGGGGGGTCAAATTTTTCCAGGGGGGGTCAAATTTTTCCAGGGGGGGTCAAATTTTTCCAGGGGGGTCAGGATCAACGAGATCAGACTATGTCAGAACCTATGTCTATCGTCGTCAAACTAAAAGTGTTATTGTTCATTGATGCGACACTTTGGCGAACTGGAAAAAAATTTAACCATCTGATCACATGAAAAAAATAAGCCAAGTGCTAAATATATCTTCGGACAGTATTTGATTTGTGATTGCGATGAAAACAAATGGAAATTAGCAAAGTTTCTATCTAATGGAAATAATTTTGATTAAAAATGTCGGCATGTCGTCATCTTCTCTACTCCAACTGGATTTTGACCATGCAAATTATTAAAAATTGGATATATGTCTGGTTTGGCTTGCATTAAAAAACCTGATTATCACCACAGATTATAGCACACATATTTTTTCTGTTGGATTCAATATTGCATTGTTGTTTTGACTGTCGCATCTCGAAAAAGTTGTATATTTATTCGATCTCTGTTGGATATTTGCATAATTTTTTGGTACATTATTGCCTTTCATTCTCTTTCTCTATTTATTCGTTATCAATGAACCAGACGCATAAGTCTGCTGTCGCGATTTTTTTACGCATATTTTGTTCTTGCAAAGGAGCACTCATAGTTACGTTGACCGGTTTTTTCGGAATTGATGTGAGCACATTCATCGGTCATTCAGATTAAATAACACGTTCGACCGTTTGGCTATTAAGCGAAGATTATTCGGCGTCTAGAACAGAATGAAATGTTGAATTAGGTAATGGCAATAAACATTGATGTGCGCGGTTGAATTTCATATAAAAGGCTTCGTATACAGCAGCAGAAAGCACAGAGTTTATTCAATCGTCGCATCGATTATCAACCATGAAGTTCTTCTGCGTTGTTTTCTTGGCTATTATTGCCGCTGCCGTGGCCAACCCACATGGACACAGATATGGTGAGGAAAATCGGCGACTAAAACTCTTCAATTAGAACAATTTCAATTGCATTTTACAAATATTTTCATTTGAAAATTTCTAACGAGATTTCCTTACTTTTTTTGCTTTTTTTCACAGGTGGTGGTAGAGGTAATAAACTTCTTTCATTCTCTCAGTTGTGATTGTTTTAAGTCAAATTTGTCGTCCAAATTTTTCTAGGCGGCTATGGAGGTGGTCCAGGCTATGGTGGTGGTCCAGGCTATGGTGGTGGTCCAGGCTATGGAGGTGGTCCAGGCTATGGAGGTATAAACTAACACGATTTTTCAAAACTCTGCAGAAGAATTTCAGAATTTTTTTTTTCGTTCGATCGCATTGCAATCATGTTGCAAAACAGTGCCGGTATTCTACGACTTTCCGACAAAATCGTTCGGAATTATTTTTTTCGTACATAAGACCATATTGGAGTGAAAGAGAGAGATTCCACTATTTTTCAGCGGTCCACCGGAATTATTCCGATAATTCAAGGAAGAGTGAAATGTGTGAGAAATAATTCCGGTGGACCGCTGAAAAATAGTGCAATCTCTCTCTTTCACTCCAATATGGTCTTATGTACGAAAAAAATAATTCCGAACGATTTTGTCGGAAAGTCGTAGAATACCGGCACAGATTGTTTTTCAACGTTATTAAAAAATATTTCTTTCCAAACAGGAGTTGGTGGCGGACCAGGTTTCGGTGGCGGACCAGGTTTCGGTGGCGGACCAGGTTTCGGCGGCGGCGGCCAACAAAATGCACAATCTACAGCTACAGCTTCAGCCTCCTCAGGAAGCCAAAATATTGGCGGACCATATCCTGGCCAACAGCAAACTTATTCCAACGCTAATGCACAATCAGGAAGCTCAACATCAACAGGGTAAATAAAATGAGTCCAACTCTCATCAATAACAAACAGCTCATTCATTCTCATTTTCTCATGCATATGTTTTCCTTTCATATTCAGATTGGGACCACACGGAAAGTAATAGACAATATGAGCAGACATGAAAATCATCGGAATTTTGAATAAATGAATAAAAATACGATGATCACTAAGAAAATATGCTGTTTTTATTTTACTTGTAGTTTTTAAAAAATCTCTTCTGAATTTAACTTGCAATAAAAGCTGAAAAAAACACGAAATCAAACATTTCAAGAATAAGTTTAAAAAAAAAATATTAAAAATTTCATTTGGATTTAAATTCGAAAACAATTTATTCATCAGAATATTTCAAACACATCATGAATAGGCTTGATCTCTATTTGAATTCAGTTGAATATTTTGCGGCAAACTCAAAGCTGAATAAAAAGCAAATCTGGAATCAAATTAAATGGCAAATTGGAAATGTGAAACGCGGTAAATGAAAACCATTCACACTGACGCATTGTAGCTAACTTCAGGGTGGAATGTGCTTTTTGTCATGATTGTGCGGTGATCTCTGTTATTTATTCACTGTTTTTAAACCAAATTCACAAAATTTCCCAAACTCACCGAGTTTATTTGCAATAAAAAAAAAATTCAGTTTTTATTTGGATCAAATCAGTGAATCGAAGATAACTTGTCGAAATGGCCGCAAAAGTAGCAGCGAATGGAAAAGGTTTCCAGCCTGTAAGTAGAAGCAAAGACTTTAAGATTTGCACACCCACATACTCTGTAGTATTGATATTCTAACCTGTAGTTCTCTGTCATTTCAACCGAAATCATTTGCGGCAACTTTTCTCTTCTATTTTGCAGGACACTGATGTTCATGTCACGCTCGAAGATCAAACAAAAATCAACAAATTTGCCAAATACAATGCAAATCTCGAAGATCTGAAAGATGAATTGCAAGTGAAGAAGAACGATTTGAAAAATTTGGAAGAGGCTGGCGATGAAATCGAATTGTTCGATGAAGACGAGCAAATTCCATTCGTATTCGGTGAAGTGTTCATTTCGCATAATTTGTCAAAGACACAGGAGCTGATAGCTGCTGCCAAGGAGAAGAAAAAGAAAGAAATCGAAGACATCCAAGAGAAATGCAAGCAAATCCAAGAATGGATGAGCGATTTGAAGGCACAGCTCTATCTGCGTTTCGGCACAAACATCTACTTGGAAAACGATGAATAAACACATAAATTGAATGGCATTTCGCATGGGTTTCTTTGTTTAATTTGTAACGTCATTCTGAATAAAATTCTAAATGAACAAACATTAGAAGAAAGAAAAACATTGCATTTCTTGTTTTATTCCGTCTTTTGGCTTATTGGAAAATAGAAACGCTGATATTTGAATAGCTAGCTGTGTGCTGTGTATAGTTGAGTCATTTACCGCATCATTTCATGTGGTCACATACATGTGTGTGGCGCTAATGTCAAAAATACCCAATACACATCAGTCACTCAACCGGTCGGCCATTTCTTTTGCAACGTCAAGAGCAGCGTGTGCTTCTTGACTCTGTTTTCAGAAAATAGTTAACAAATTGTGCTATTTTATTTGAGCAAAAAAGGAAGAGAACATTAAATCAGTGAGAAAAAAAAACCGTGGTCTGCACAAAAACGAAAATGTCGAAAAAGTTTGATCTTACTTCAAAAATATGCCAGTACTTGGATCGGCATTTAACATTTCCACTCCTTGAGTTTCTGTGTGAAAAAGAGGTAATGTACACTTTGTTAGGTTATTGCGACAAGAAAGAGAAGGTGAAAGATAACGAATGTATTCACATCTGAATGGGATTCGATTTGCTTAATTCTAGACTGAGGATCAAGAAGCATTATGGCAACAAATCCTAGATATCGTCAACAAGACGAATTTGATTGATTACACCATGGATATTCGCAAGCGTTTGCAGTTGGGCGATGAAATGCCACAAGTAAGTGTACAATAGGCGTGTGTGGTTATTCGAAAGCAATTGAAACTAAAAGCTGTTTTATTTGGTCTTCAGGAATTGGCTGAACGCAAATCGAATGTCTATGCTACTCTTGTAAAGTTACAAGAAGAGGTGTCACAAATCACTGAAATTACGGAAATCCTCAAGGATGCCGACAACATCAAGGATTCCAAAACATTTGTCGAGGAAATCAAGAAGGAATTCGGCGTACGTATACCAACGTCAACACTAGCATTTTGTTTCAACTTTTCGTTCAAAAGGCTAACAATTTTTCCTTTCTTCATTTTTCCATAGTATCAACCAGAATGGGCCGAGAAAGCGTATCGCATGGGCAAATATTTCTATGAGTGCGGTAAATACAACAATTCAATATCGTACTTGTACTTCTGTTCGCTGGTGATGCAACCCACCGACAAAAACTACTTGAATGTTTTGTGGGGTATTCTCGCTGCCGAAATTCTCCAGCTGAACTGGAACTCAGCGTTGGAAAGTATGAATCGTCTTCGTGACTACATCGATAACAGCAACTTCAGGTAAGCAGCGTATTTTTCATCTCCTCTCTATTAAGTCAAAGTGATGGAATTGTGAAGATTAATTTTCAACACCTAATTTACAGCAATATCGAAGCTTTGCAACAACGCACCTGGTTGATCCACTGGAGCGTGTTCATTTTCGTCAATCACCCAAAGGGACGTGATTTGATCATCGAAATGTTCTTGTACAAACCATTATACTTGAATGCCATCCAAACGATGTGCCCGCACATTTTGCGCTACTTGGCCGCTGCCGTGGTCATCAATCCAGGCCGCCGTAATGCACTGAAAGATTTGATCAAGGTTATCCAACAAGAATCGTACACCTATCGCGATCCAATCACCGAATTCTTGGAACATTTGCTGGTTAATTTCGATTTCGAAGGGGCCCGTTTGAAATTGCACGAATGCCAAACAGTGATCATTAACGATTTCTTCATTATCATCTGGATGAATGAGTTCATTGAAAATGCGCGTCTCATGATTTTCGAAACATTCTGTCGCATCCATCAATGCATCACCATCAGTATGTTGGCCGATAAATTGAACATGGAACCAAGAGAAGCCGAATGCTGGATCGTTAATTTAATTCGTAACGCTCGGTTGGACGCAAAGATTGATTCAAAATTGGGCCATGTGGTGATGGGAACGCAACCGTTGAGCCCATATCAACAGTTGGTGGAAAAAATTGATTCGTTGTCAGTACGTTCAGAAACACTTACTACTTTAGTGGAAAGAAAACAAGCTAAACTCTCGTATGCCGAAGGCTACAGCAAGTATTAAACACGCTGGCAACAAATCTGGTTTTTTCTCTAGTTAACCCTCTCAAAACCCTTTACATTCAAACACATGCGACAAAAAAGAACAAGAATTGAAATAATAAAGAAAAAAAAACACTTTGCCACTCTGATACTGGACATTTTTCATCTGTAATTTTTATTTACGATAATGTGAATGCAAAGAACCGTATTGCAAATGTTATTCACTACCGAAAAATATAAAATAAATGTCTTGTATTTAAGAAAACACACAAACACACGATTTTTTTTCTTTGTCCGTTTTTATTTTTATTTTTTCATTAGCAAATACAAAAATCGACAAAAGATTTGGATTTTTTTTTTGTGTAATTCTGGAATTTATATTATTATAATAATATGGCAATTATGACAATTATTTTATGGAGCTTAAACGTAATATTTATGAAAATGAAAGTATCCAGTCTGGATTAAAAATGATATTTGTAGGATTTTTTTGTCATGTGGAATGGGTGTGGTATGAATAAATGAGTTTATGTATTCAAAAAGAGCATGCATTTTTTTTTTCAAAGATAATGTCCCATGAATGATTAGTGAAATTCGAATACCTGGCTGTTTCTCGCCAGTAACATCGAATCCCAATTGCCACACAAGTTTTTGTTCCATATTCATGGCAAATATACGACACGAAAAAAATTTATTTTCATATGAGTTGTATTTTAGTGGGACTTATGTGTTTTAGAGAGAATTTTTTAAAATGTGAATCAAGAATATCAAAAAAAAAAGAAAATACCATGAGGCACTAACAATGTTTAAAGGCTATCGTTGTTGATGTGAAGCGTGATTTGATTGTACAATGCTTTATAAAATGCATGCTTTGGAATACACTCAATGCACATATTCTTTTTTTTCTGCTATTTTATTTCTCGATAGAGTAGGTTGCAGTTGGAATATTGTTAGAGGAGAAGTGAGGCCATCATTACGAAACAGGCCAGATGCCGCATGGCATTAATGGTATTTAAAAGCTTGTTATTGATTTTGAGCATTTTTTTTTCTATGTTTTTTCATTTGTTTTTTTGAATCCAAATGAAAATAAATTCATTTCATCACATTGAAAAATATTGAAAGTAGGAAGCAACTCGCCACTGAAAGCTGTAGACTCTACGTATTAAAATCGGTGTTCTCAGTTGCGGTGTTCTTTATATTATTTTTTTTCGGAGATTTTTAAATCAGTGAAATGAAGTGGGTTTATTTGAGATAAATTTCAATATTTTTCAATTTACTAAATTGACGGAATTTGTTCGGATCCGTTATGAAATGATTATGGATGTATTTGCTTTGAAAATGTGTCTTTTTCTTAACTTTGTTGGAGGTGTTTGTTTCTTGACTAAATTGAATGTAATATGTTGCTTTCACATAAATCAAGTCAATTGGTATAACGGGGTACTCGTAGATCAGGTGGTATGGTTGTATGGTGAGCGATAATACGAGAAGCAGCTGTTTATAGCATTTGTAGTAGATCCTTGCCATCAATGTATGATTCGTTCGTCTTGCAATATTCAATCAATTCGGTCCAGTTCTCATCACCGCTGAGCAGCGATTGTCTTCCAAAAATGACGACCAACATTCTGAAATGTATCCAAATACAATTACGTACACTAAAAAATTGTTGGAATTTCACAAATATTGTAATAATTTTTCACCGAGCTCTGGATATTGCTGTGTTGAGCCGTTTTGGGCAGAAAATGAATTGAAGCGCCTTTTCTTTGCCGGATGTTTTGACGGCCGAAATGAGGATCACCTTCTTTTCTTCACCCTGGAATTCTTCGACGGTGCCAACGGTGATCCGTTTCTTGATCTTCAGCTCCTTCTTCAGAGAGATCACCTGAGCATGATATGGCGTGATCACACCGATATCCTCTTCGTCAATCTTTCTTTCGAGCAACTTTGGTATATAATTTCGAATCTATAGCGAATGAACATAGAATTTGGTATGAAAACAACATATGGCTAATTCTTTTTCAAAAACAAAATTTACCAAAGCCATTTCTTCCTTGTTCTCCCACGATTTCTTGTTTTGCATTCGCTCGTTTCGTCCATCGACATTGACGAAACAAATGCCAAATGGATTTTTGGTTTTTGGATCCGTTCGCTTGGGCAGAATGCGGGCCAATTCACGCAATTTTATCGCTTCTGGACTGTTTTCCGCGCAGATCGTTGATATTAATTGTGAATCGTAGAACTGCTTGTCGTAGAAATGCAAAATGCTAGGCAACGAACGGTAATTTCGGCGCAGTTTCGTCACTAATCTTGGATCGAAACCATCATCACCCTGCAATCAATCGAAAATTGTTCAATGAAATGAATAAAATGCCACAATTCGAATTATTTCCGCTGTTATTCTACTCACCGGTATAACATCTTCCAATGTTTTGTAAATATTGACATAGCGTTCCAGCATCGATTTGACCAAGTCGTAATGCTTTGCATGGTTGCTCAATGTGATCGGAGGCAACTGCAATGGGTCACCAGCCATGATGATTTGACCACGCTCGAGATTGACGAAAGAGATCGGAATCAGAGCTTCGCATTCGTTGCACTGGGCTGCTTCGTCAATTAGGACATGTGTGAAGTAACCATTGCTGAAATCACTGGAAATGATACAAGCAAAGTTAAGAACAAAAAGCCAAGAATTCTCGTATAAAAAGAAATATTTGTTTTGATAACTTACGTGCCGAAAAGAACACCCAGACCTACGCACGTGCCAATAATTATCTTGAATTTTCTCAAGTGCTCCAACGATATGTTGCGCTTGATATCTGCTGGCAAATCGTCGAATTCCAGCAAATCATCACAATCAAGATTCGTATTCATCACAGACGCACTGACCTTATGCAAATCCCGCGGCAAAGTTTTTCGATCCAACACGGCATTGCTAACCAATCGCAGCATATCACTGCTGACAGTTGGGTCGGCGCTAATCAAACGACTGGCCACAACATTTGCTGCGTGATTCGATTGAGTTGCCACCAAAATAACGCAGTCTTTCACGTGTTGACGTGTTTGCAGAATGATTTCAATGATCGTTGAAGTTTTGCCCGTTCCCTGTGAGAAGAAAATTTGGTGTGACAAATCATGATTGCAATTTTCGTGTTTTTGTAAACTTTACAAAGAAACGAATGGAATGAAATCAAAATTGAAGCTTTCCCACAGGAAATCACTGTTCGATGGAATGATTATAATCATTGGGAATTGCAACGCTTGAACTAATTGTGAAGTAAGCAAAGTGGGCGAAAAAAAATGCTACTCACCGGTGGGCCGAACACAACGAATGGATATGGTCGACATTCACCTCTTAATGCTCCTGCCACGGCAAACTTTTGCTCTTCGTTCAAGTTGTCTTTGTACCATGGAACTTCAGCGCCGTCCAACAACAATTTGTCATCCTTTAATTCCGCGTTGAGCTGCAAAGTCTTTGCCAAAGTCAATTTGGATGGGAACAAAAATGCTTCGTCTAACTTTCGCTTGGCGTAGTCGACCGCTGCATGTTTTCTTTGGTAAATGGTTCGGCTGTAGATAAACTCAGCGGAGTACCTGAAAGAAGAATATGGCCCATGAACACACCAAGTGTGTGTTGAGAAATTTTTTTCATGTTAATATTGCAAATAGGCTTTCGTACGTGTCTCCAAGCCGCCAATCTTCTTCGAAATCACGTCTAAACCGTAAGATGAACCGATCTTCACGAACACGTTCAACGAGACCACGGTAGAATCGTCGTTCGTTTTTCAAATTACGCACTTCAATTTTGTCACCTTGTGTATGTGTGTGTGTGTGTGATGGAAAAAGTAAGAGAATTTAATAAGACTTGAAAATGAAAAATGTTCAAAAAAAAAAACATTTTGAATTTCTCCCCAAAAAAATCGTCATTTGTTCGTTTTGTAAACACATACCGACGGCAATCGGAGGGCGAAGTTCAGCGATTTTCGAGCACTTGATTGAGAAACGGTTCTTTTTGCCAATTTTCTCCGGTTCGATCCAAACCGTGCGTGATTTGTATCTATCGAACGATACTTTCATTTCCACTTCCTCTAACCAAATCAATGCATGGAATCGTTTTTTGTACGTGTTGTAACTGAGCTCGTGCGGAACGAACTTATTCAGTTTCTGCATGATTTTGCGCGGATTCTTTTCCAAATGGATGTTGAACAGTTCGGGGGGCAAATCGTAATATTCTTGATTTGGCTCACGTCGTTTTAAATGATCGAATGCAACGTGTCGTTCTTCGGCTTCTGTATCCGAATCAACATTTTCGTTTTCAAGTGCAGCCGCTGCAGCAGCGACACCAGCAGCACCCGCGCCCGCAACATTTCCTTCCATAGAATCATTGAACCAAAGTTCCTCGAGCCTTTTGTCTTCCTCGTTCTCCTTAACCTTTTCGATGCTTGCACAACGCCATTCGTATTTCGAATTTCCGATGGTGTATTCGCCTTCGATCACAACACATTTCACGTCATCATCGTGTTTGGCTTCCCAGTTCAGTGGTTTTTGTTCACTGATGTAAAAAATAAAGTCGTCATCAACCGTACCGTAACTTTGAGTTAATGACGTAATTTTGCCGGTGTGCACGCGAAGCTCATCCCACGGTTCAATTTTGTACACTTTTGGCGGATCGTCGCGCATTATGTGCAACTTGACACGATCCCCTTTGTGTGGATCGAAGTCGCACTCTATATCGGACATGTCAAGTTCACGGTCCGTGTAAATATCCGAGTTCGATGTTGTGTTCAATTTTCCATTATCGGTTTCTTCAATAAACGCGTTTATCGTATTGTATAGTTTTCCTTGTGCCATTTTTTCACTATTTTCTATGTCACTTTGTAAGAAATTGAACCAAAAAATTCACTCCAATTTTATCCAGCGAATTCAAATTATTACTGTTAGTACAGAAGACCGACAACCATTCAGCTCGGTAGACACGCTCAAACTAATCAAAGAGCCAACAGCATCGAATGCAAAATGCCGCATAACGAATTTGAATCAAACCAGAATGCAGCAATTTATGCTCAGACTCATTCCGCGAAGAACATGAGATTGCGACAGCATTTAAGTATTGAATTACAGCGCGACGCATAGAGATGTGAATATGCAGAACTGAGAGCTCAGCATATTTTCTCTAAACACACTCACAACCGCGCTAACTGCTTGAATGTGTTTACTTTTTATGACTGCTATACTCATAACGGCGACGTTTTGTTTATTAAATCCTTTTTTGGTTTTAGTCACGATTTTCAAACCAACTATACCCATTCGATTTAGTACTGAATTTTTTTCTGAATCATACAAACGAAACGATTAAGTCGAACAAATAAATTAGACTTATTTCATTAGTTTTGTAACAAATGTTTCGTAGAATTTATTCAATTTTTCAATGGTTCATCAGTTAAGATTATGAAATATTTCATGAAAATCGAATGATAGGCATTCGCCTGCTTTTTCAATGACAACTTTTTTTTTTTGTATGTTGAAACAACAACAGAAAACTGTTGATAATATTACATTCGGTGCAATCGATTTGTTTACATTTGGATAATTTTTTTTAAAGCCATAAACAAAACGAAAATGGCTATGGTCAACTTGATACGAAGCACTCTAAATCCGCCTGAATGTGAATTTAAAATGATTTTTTTGCTAACAAAAATTCCCAGAATTTTTTTTTTTGGTTGCAGTGAGGGTTGGAAATTCCATTCCATTAAAGAATTCTAATGAAAAACTCTTATAAAAAATAGTTTGCTAATATGAGAATACTCTATGTGTAAAAAATCGATTCGATTGTGATCGTCCTGACATGATTATTCAATTTTCTGTGCAAAAAAATTCAATATTGTTCAATTACGTTAAACATAATGTTGAGACTTATTCTAATGGCTCGCGTACTGTTTTCGGTATTTCACAGCCAGAGTATGTTCCATTGATGAAGCAATCGTAGATGATTTGTCGCCAATTGTCGTCCAGCGCCAAGGCACGTGGGTTGCCAATAATAATGAGAATTGCTCTGAAAAGAATGCATTAAAATGGTATAAATTATGTGAATATTTAGTATGTTTATGGGCTCACCTTGCGCGACTGATGGCGACATTCAATCGATTTTTGTTGTTGATGAAGCCAAGACCGTATTTGCCATCGTGTGAAATGTGTTTGGGTTGAGATCTCACAGTTGAAATGATGATGACATTTCTCTCTTGCCCTTGAAATTCTTCGACGCTACCGATTTTCGGCAGCTTACCGTCATGGCATGCATCGCACTGCAGTCGAATGTCTTTCACTTGTAACGCATACGGAGTTATGATACCAATGTCATCTTCGGTTAGACCGGATTTGTATAATTCGCCCAAAATCCATGACACCTGACAACAACAAAAAAATATGTTCCATGAACACACCAAGTGTGTGTTAAGAAATTGTTTCATGTTGATATTGCAAATGGCTATCGATACCGTCAAAAAATAAACTTTAATTGTTACCTTGTTGATTTCCGTTAGATTTCTCCACGATGTTGAATTCGATGGCTTTTCATCCTTGCCCATAACGCCCATGAAATAAACACCGTACTTTGGCGAATGATTCAATTTGAGATTTGGATTGGCGGTTGACTGGAACGTTGTGAGAATGCGTTGTTCATCGCTGTCTTGGTCCGAAATGTTTGGAATCAATTTTGATTCGTACGATAGATTGCTGTATGCCGATAGAATGCTTGGCAATGAACGATAGTTATGCAACAATTGTGTCACCATTCGATCATCAAAACCACCTTTTCGCTGCAATTTTGAGAAAAAAAAAATTGTTTCAGCCTTATTTTCACTCGATCGAGATAAAAATGAAAAAAAAAAGGAATGAATTTTCTTACCCCAACGTCTTTGTGATATGGCAACCGATCTAAAAGTCGTGATAGCAAACTTTTGTCCAAACCGCACTTCTTTGCCACTGGTGATAGTACAATTGGACCCAGTTGGTGTGGATCACCCGCCAAAATGATTTGACCGTAATCCTTGTCAATCAAACAAATCGGAATTGCAATTTCTGGCTCTGTGCATTGGCCAGCTTCGTCGATGATGGCATGTGTAAAATGGCCGGCCTTGAATTTCATTTGCAACAAATTACCGTATGTACTGCACGTACTGACCAATATGCGATGCAAGCTAATCACTTCTGAGTCACACTGCACGCGTATGCCATTTTCAAATGGATTTTCCGGTTGAACGGTTGATCTTGGCGCGGCAATGGAAACAGTTATACAATGCTTACGCAAATCATCGGGTATTTGGCCGCGTTCAATGCTGTTCTGACCAACGATTCGGGCAAATTCACCCACTTTCAAAGCACCACTATCAGCCAACAGCTTTGTTATCAAATTAGCGGCACTGTTTGACGGAGCCGCCACAACTAAACGGCTATTCCCTTTCTTGTACAGTTGCAATATGATTTCAATCAATGTAGACGTTTTACCGGTACCCTTATGGGGAGAAATACACTTTGTAACTAAAATTGCTTCGACACATGTACCTGCGTTTTGTATTCTGAGTGGAAAATTACGAAAATCAGGTTCAATAGCTTACCGGTGGTCCAAACACCAAATATGGGCACATGCGAACTTCGCCTCGCAGCACACTTACAACGGCTTGTTTTTGAATTTCATTCAGCTTCGAATTGTACCATGGTACCTTTTGTCTTGGATAATCCAAAATTATGTCGCCTTCAATCAGTTGAACGTCCATCTGTGGTCGTTTGCCCGACTTGATTGTATTGGGGAATAAATATTCCGAATTGCCGTTCAACAGCTTCTTGAACACCCGTTCAACAGCATTGTGTTGCTTGATAAACTTTGCGCGTGAAAAATTGAAGATTAATTTATAATCTTCGCCACCGTACAGACTATGGAATTCGTCAGCGAATTTCAACAGCAGACGATTTCTGGTCATTTTGTGTATGAAACCTTGATACTCTTTCGGTTTGTTGTTCTGCGTTTCAAGCAAACTTTCGGCATTGATCATATCTCCAATGACGATGGATGGACGGCACTCGAACACGTTTTTCTTCATTTCGTATGCCAAGTACTCACCATCGCGTATAAAATGTCCACGATCTTGATCATACATTCGGAATTCATGACGCATGAAAATCTCTTCGAAATGCAACAATTTATGGAAGAAACGAGCGTAATTGTCTTTTTTCAGTGCGCTAAGCAAATCGCCGCTGTCGCGTTCAAGTAAATCGTAGATGTCGACGTTGTTATTAGCTTGCATTACCTCTTCAAACAATTCCTTCGGCACCTCAAAACGATCCAACCTATTCACGAATGACAACGAAAATTCTATTAGCCTTTTTGAAATCGAAAATCAAACATCTGAACTCACCGGTTATCGATGAAATGCGGTGCAGAGACCGGAGCATGACCTTTGACCACTTCACGCTTTTCCGAGTAAATTTTTTTCGTGTATGCCTTTGAATGTGTAATGCGTGCACCTTCGATTTCATCGACATTTTTCACATCCATCGTAATGCATCGACGCACCAAATGCTTGTTGTCAATTTTAAAATCGATTTTGACTTTGTGCACACCGCTGATAATGCCAACCAACGCAATTCGATACACAAAATTACCGCCTGACTTGACATCATGTGGCTTGTACAATTCCGTGCAATCGACTTGTGATGCAATGAGTTGATTCCTGAGTGTTGCTGAAGAAATGCGGTGCGTGCGATCAGATTTATTCAACACAGTCAGTTCGATGACCTTTTTACCCTTTTGTTCACTATGTTCACTATCAAATGACACCTTCAATGCATCACTTTTGGTGAACAGCAAATCACAATCTTCACTGTCAATTTCATCATCTGATTCCGGCTCATTGTCATTATCGCCTGCCATTTGTTCAAATGCACCGGCTCCGACGTTGTGTTGGTTTGATCGGACTTTCCAAAGTTTTATGCATCGATAGAAGAATTCATGATCATCAATCTTTTGATGGCTCGAAATGACATCGGCGGCGACCGTATCACCTAGATTTGGCACTTGATTCTGATTACTTGAATGTTGCAGAACATCCAAGTAGAAAATGTACTTTTTGTCAATTAGTCCATAGCTGAAAAGAAACGCCAACAATTTGTGATTATTTTGTGTTTCAGGTTAACAGAGACTCAAATATAGTCGAGCATGGAAAATCATGGACAAATATCGTAAAGTCTCACTGAAACTGTACAAATGAGTGAAATAGATACGTATTTGCATTTTATTCAATTCTCTCTAGGTGCATACCGCAATTTCTTCTTGAACGATGTAATTTGTCCCGTAATAAACTTTTGCTCGTTCACTTTCATCCCATAGTAACCAATCACTACGTAGTCAGCTGAATTTTCCCGGTTGATGCCAAATTCCGCTTCGATTTCCACCTGATCGCCAACCATTGGATTGAATCCACATCCAATTTCGCTGATCACCATTCTCATCGGTTTCGTAACTTCCGCGCATTCCATAAATATTTCACCGTTGTGTTTGAGAATGATTTCACCCCTCAACACTCTCATGTAATTGTTCAACGGTATCGGACTGTTGGAATCGTCATCATTTCCATCTTCATCCATTGTCCAAAAATCTTGGTCGATCGACTCAATTTTGTAGATGACAATTGGCTGATCTTCAGATATTTTGCGTGCAGTGCATGTCACACGGTCACCCTTTTTCACTTTCTTGTGTGCCAACGCTTCGCTGTTGAACATGTACTTGTCATCGATTCGGCCTTTTCCATCCGAATACAAATGTGTCACTTTGCCTGGAAAACGGATTATGGAAGTTTAGTAAAATGCTAGTGATATGGGATGACTCATTTTACCTTTGTATCGAAAGAACACGGCGTCCGGCATATACGATTCCTCAACGTGACGATTTGGGTCGCCAGCATCTTCATCATTACCAAATGAGTTTATTTTATCCAAAATCGCCTGGTATTCCTTAACATAGTGGTCTCGGGTTGGCTTTGGCGCAAATAATCTGTTGTACAGATAACTGGCAAGATACATTTTGCTTGGGTTTTCGTGTCGATTGAGAAGCGTGGTCTGGACTACACTGCTATGCGCTCACACTTGCAACGATAACTCAGTTGTTGCGTTGTGCTGTTGATTCGAATGAAACAAAATGTCAACTGAAGTAAAACTCGGTTTAAAACGTGTATGAGCTGAAATTGTCGCACACTACGCAACTGTACATATTCCAACAAAGAGCAATTTCAAGTGCATTATGGTTGCTATTGTTATTAGACAAAATTTCGGAATTCAAAATGGCTAGGACTTGAAGAAATGTTTAATATAAAAAAGTGTATGCAGTGAAATTTGATGCCATACACGTGAGTTACTAGGAGGGGCAAGGAAACAATGATTTTCATTCGGCTTTAAATGCGATTTGAAAGGGTATCGAAATGATTACCAAAAAATGAAATGATTGCCTTAAGGCAATAATTATTTCTAGCCAAATGGAAGAGTTTAAAAATGTCTTGGATTTTATTGTTACACGACTGTAAATTTCTTGAAATTGCTTTTTGCGCGAATAGTTTTACAACACAGCTAAGTACACACAGTAAAAGTTGAACTTTGTGAATTTATTACACTAGAACAGAAAACAACCAAAAAACTAATTAAATAATATAATCAAATGGATATTTACCTCTGGAAAATGATTTCCCAATTAAATGCGTTTTTTTTAAATCAAAATACAATTCGGCTGCTCACAAACCCGTATCGAATTGATGTAGCTATGCAATTTGAAATCATAACAACACACAGTTTGACATTTGCGAAAAACGACAGCAGCGCTCCCTTCGCAAAGTGGTCTGTAAATTGCAATAAATTTATCTTTCTCTCACCTGAAATACAGAATATTTACTCAATTGGAATATAAGATTTTTGCTCCCAATTGCCATGATATCCAATCATTTAGTCAGATTTTTGAAATACATCTTCTACGCCAAATAATATCCACGGCAGGAAAAAAAATGCGAATGTTTAAAATTGGTCTATATTTATTAAACAACGGCTATTGACTAAGAATATAAAATAAATATCACACCCAAAATCGATTTGGTGCGACAGGGGCAAAAAATACATGCAAAATTTATTATTAGACTCATGGTACGCCGAGTCCATGTATTGATTTCCTAATCAGTCTCGATGGATGAATGAATGAGAGAAAAAAAAATCGAGAAAAAACACTTAAAATAGAAATTCTTCATGTTTGAAGTTGATCTATGCTTGTCCGATGTGTTTCTCTATTGGTTCGTATTGCCATTCCGTTTCTTTGATGAAATTCAGTGATTTTCGTAGTTCAATCATGCGGGCTGTTTGAAGTTCCTCACTGACTTTTTTCTCACATTTCTCCATAAATACCACAAAATTGAACGCTTGATTTTTCTACAAAGAATCCAAAGAAATAAGAAAATACGTCAGCAACACTTCGTCCAAACAAATCCGCTGTAATTTAATGTTTTCTAGAGAGAACACCAAATATAGGGCTTTACTTACTTTTTTTCCACCTCGAGCAAATGATACAATTAAATCCTTTTCCAGATCGGATGTTAACGCTGGTTCCATGGTGTTTTAGAAACTGAACAAAAACAAAATCCAATATCGAACGACCAAGTCAAAATGTTTTGGTAGGAGAGATTCCGTATGCAAACAATGTTTGTTATGACAGTTCGTTCTGCACGAAGAGTGTTGTGTGTCATTTGTGGTGCGAGAGATAGCAGCGCCAAGTTTTTCAATCGAAATCGCCGAACCGATTTCGATTTCATGGCAAAAGCAGCATGCTTGTACACAGAATTTTGTTAGGTTAGGTCTTTGGTAAGCCCAACTCACACACCAATCGGCTGCAAACAGATGTAACATCGACGGTATACGTACACGCACACACCGTTGCATGCCGATACGAAAAGCGCGCAATACCAAAAAAACACGAAATCTCCGCTCAATCAGATGTGCGTTCGGTTGTGTCTCTGTGTGTACTGTGCAATATAAAAATAATTTTGCACAATAAAATTCATCGAGTAGTCGTTTCCTTGTGTCGGAAAGCATCGCAGCTAACACATTTGCGGGCATCAGATTTCTTGGGTGTTGGGAACAACGTGAATGATTCAGTTGTTCGAATTCAGTGGCAAATCAGTGAATTTCAAAGTGTGAATAATATAAAAAGGAGTTAATCCCTCGAAAACATAATCAACTCTCAATTAGACGGATTAGTTTATTGTTGTTTTCTTTTTATTGAACATGGAGCAAATCATCGCTAATTTGTTGGTCGCCGATAACGCAGTTATCCAAAAGGTATGATACATTTGATGTAGACATGAAGCATTTTTGTATATTCTGATTTTTGTTACTGTTGCTGTTACGAGTGGGTTTTTTCCTGTATGAACACGCATTGAAGTGATTGCAGTTTTTTTTTTCAATTTACGCCGCTAGCAATGCCATTGCGATGACAAGCACGTGGTTATCAAATCGTACAACGCGAACAATTATTCTAATACCCTTTTTTTTTGTTAAGAAATTTATTCTATTTCATTCGTTAGATTGGTTTTTTTTTGTTCGTTCATATTGATTCGGCGTTAAATACCATATCTCCGCACAAGGTTTGGATGAATCCACACCTTTCGTCGTTGCAACAGCGTTGAGTTTCGGTTACGGAACTGAGCGTGTCATTGTTCTCCATAAAATATTCGAATTGAAAGAAAAAAGTGTATGAATTTATTATTTACCGTAAATAGACTATAAATAAAAATGGCTTGAATCAAATCAAAGGCGCATATTTTGTGCCAAAGATGATCATTTCAATTTCATGCCAAAAACAAAAGGAAATGAAAAACGAACAAAAAGAACGCAAAATGATTGTGTTTGTCAATTGAGAATGTTGTTATTGTTTCCGTTTCGAAGAGAAAAAATTTGTTGAACAATTTACACCTTCAATAACCATAACATCGAGAGTCGCATGTTTCATGTGCCAAATGACTCAATTAGATGTTAATGATAAAGTGTGTTGAGCGAAAAATGACTTTTTGGTAGGCAAATCACCGTTTTATTGCTGCTTGTGGTAGTTTCTATGCGAACATTTGTTGTTGTTTTTCGTTCGGTGTGACCACTCGAAATGTGCATTCGTGTACGAGACACACAGAGACAGGGATACGAAGATGGTGACAATGCCAACGAACGATACAACAAAAAAGAACGCAAACGAGCGGCAAGAATAAGATTTCAACAACAACAACAGCAAATATGAATAGCAGAGAATATCGCGACGCACACACAATGGGGCGCGCAAATATTTTTGTGAAGCGGTATACAGTGAGCGTGGCTTATAGTGACACAATCAAAAATCATCAAGTGTGATTTTGATCCGTTTAACAAAAGAATGTGAGCTCATTTGTACGCATACGCATCGAATTTATCAGTGCGTGGTTCGATCATCATTCTCGATCGAAAGGAGTCATGTGCTCTTCCTGCAAATTCCATGAATTTATTTATACTTTTGTTCGAATCCAAAACGCACGCCGTTTTTCTTCTTCTCCTTCTTTCGATTTTATTCTGTATCTGTATCATATTTTCGGGGCCAGCTAAATGTGTTCCTCATGTTGAACACGCAAATTTCATGACTCAACACGCTCACTCTAATCAGGAATAATTGTGCGCTAAACGCTCAATCGCGTTTCGTCTATCTGTCTGTCGTTCCTTGATGATAAAATGCGTGTTACTGTTTTGACATTCATCTCGTTCGCGCTATTTGCTGTTCATGTCTCTGATTTCCATTTGAATTTCATACATACAAACTAAGACATCCTCGCATTCCGAGCGGCTATCGAAAGAATAATCGTTTGATTATTTGGAACGCAATTTATTTATTCTTAACGATCGCATTTTTTTTGCTTTGCTTTTTCGACTTCTTTCGATTTATAACGTGCCACATTTTCAACAGATGAAAATAAGTAATGCCATTTTGACTAGACGAACTCAATGTTTCGATCTTTTTAAATCCAGAAAATTGCAAAACCGTATCATAGACACAGTCATAAGACACAGCCGTTTTTACCGTCAAACACATAAAAATTGTCTTCTTGTTCTTATGATTCAGCAGATGAAACATCTGCTCTGTGATTTTTCAATACAATGCTTAATAATAATAAACACGTGGCTGTGATTCAGACACAATGCACCTTTTTGAATGTATGTAGTATATTTTTGTCGACTCAAGCAGAAGAGAAAAAAACATTGTAATGTATTGTAGACGTTTTCATCACATTGCCTTTGCAACAAAAAGAAACAACAAATCAGCAGTTGAAAAAGAAATGTGAATAGTGTTTGAATGCAGGTAAAATTCATACCATTCCGTCCAATTGCAATACAAGCACGCAAAAAGGTATGTTTTTTCCCAATGCAGTAATTAAAAGCGATTTGCATGAGCAAGATCAATGCTACTGCTCAATACGTGTACACAAAGTCATAAAGAGGATTTTCATGGAAATGACTCGTTTCATTTGTTTTATTTTTTTCTCGCAAAAATCATAGAGCATCCGTACTTATCATTGCCCCATTATGCGTCTGGCTAATGTTGCATTGTAAATAAGTACATCCCACACACACACACAAATTTTGTTTTGTCTAGTTTTCCTTTCCATTTCTCCTGTTCCCTTGAAATCCGTATGCAAATATTGTTTCAATCAAGAAAATCAACTTATTGTACCACCATTTTGTCTTTGCAGCAGTAAACAAATTAGTTTACGGCAGTGCACCGAAAGTTAAAATATTCTTTGGCCCAAAGCAAACATTCGTCGGAGGTCAAAAAAGATAGAAAAACAGAATGAGTGCCAATTCCTACTAATGTTCATCGAAAATCATTTAAATACTGCATATCAACCGCTTCAGTTGTCAATTCTCAAGCCATTTTGCAAGTTAACATATCACAAAAAAAAAGAAAGAAAGACTATTTTGTGTGCCCAAAAATGTGGTCAAATAAAGAGAGTAGTACGTTGATTATCATCATCGAAAATCAAGTTTCAAGTGCAATTCCAGTTACATCAACGAACAACAATCACGAGTTTACGGGCAATTTACTTGACATTGTCCGCGATTGGAATCTCATCGCTAATAATCTGAATCGAACCGGTGAGTTGAGAATAAACTTCGTTGAACATTTTCCCCCAAAAAGGGAGAAAAGAAAAAAAAAACGAAACAATTTTTCTAATGGAAAACCACTGACCATTTTCTGATTGCCCAGTGTCTGATTGCAAGAAACAATGGCGTGAATTGGTGCGTCAATTTTTATTTGCAACAAATCGAGTTAACATTGATCAAAGTGACGCTTATCGAAGTCCTGTCTACTCAATTCATTGGCGACACATGGAACAAATGATGTTTCTTATGCCATACGCCGGCAAATATAAGCGGTAAATAGAAACATAGAGCAAAAAAAAAAACAAACGGTGTGAAAACATACTAGCGCATTTTATTAATACTTTTTTCGGATACCAAATTTCTATTTGTTTTAGATATGAAAAACCCGTTGATTCGATGGAAATCGAAGATACGGTCGAAGAAACAGTTAGTACCGAAGCGAAACATTGTGAATTTGATAGAATGACACCGCAACGCTTGAAAGATGTCATAAAAGAGATATTGAAAACCCGATCAACACCAGCTTATGCTCAAAATCTATTGAACAATCTCAAGAGATACTATCACGAAGAAAAGTATCTGGATAAAATCACATACATGATCGAATTGAATACCGATGGCTGGAGACAACATGATAAACTCAAATTTTTTAATTGGTACTACAAACAATTGCAAAAAATTGTAGCCAAACGATAATCACTGTCTCTGCTGGAGACCATTCCACACACACACAGACACAATCCATAGGGTGGAAGCATCAACAAAATTCAAATTGGCGCGCTGTTTAGTTCAGAAAAAAATTATGAAATTACATTGATTTTCCTATTTGAATTGAGGGCGCTCGCGTCGCCACAGTTGTTTTCGGTCTTAGCTTCCACCCGATGACACAATCTCAAAAGAAGTAACATTTTACAAGAAATCTAGTACAACCGAATTTATTAACTGTTTTCTTTTTTCTATTCAACTTGAATTAAATAAAGATACATTTTAAGAAGGATAAAGCGATTGCTGAACTTTTATTTCATTTATTTGTTATATGCCATGTTGCCTGACAGAATTGTTAATTGTTGAAGCTGTAACTAACATATGCGATCTCTTCTTCTTTTTTTTCGTTTGACACAGGCGACAGCCGATTTACAGGAAGCCTTCAAGCGGCCAGAAGCAATCTCAGCTCTCTGTGATGTCATTGTGAGTTCACCAGAAGTGCAACATCGGCAATATGCTGCCGTTTTGCTTACCAAACGGTTGGGCAAATTGCGAAATTGGCAACAAGTGCCAACTGATCATCAAGAAATGTAAGTACTCTGCATGCCCCTTTCAATTCCATCTTCGAATAATGCAAATGTCAGAATGTAACCGAAAAACATGATTTTCTTTTATTCCATTTAGTATGAAGCAGGGAATGTTGAATGCTTTGGTCAATGAAAAAGAGAAGCCGGTTCGTAATGCAATCGCACAATTTGTTGGAACGCTTATCAAGCATGATTCGCATTCGCCAGCTGGCACATACACGTTGCAAGTGCTGAAATTCGTGTTCGATCACTGTGCATCGGAAAATGTTGCCCAACGTGAAGTTGGCACATCAATTTTTTCCACACTCACAGCAACCGCACCCGATCAATTTATACCGCATATTGATACCATTTGCGAAATGTTTACATCGGCACTTTTGGCCGCTGAACAATGTGAAAATATGGCAACACCGGTCATTTCGAACGTTTTATTAGGAATGTGCAATTTGGTGCCATTCATTTTGGGTCACAACAACGCCGAGGCCACATACCAAAAAGCCATTCCACACATTGTCAAGGCATTGGCCACATTCGCTGTGCACGATGCCGATCAATTCATGAAATCGTTCGATGTGTTGGAAAATCTTTGTGATTACACACCAACTTTGTTGAACGGTAGCTTGAAGACACTCATCGATTTCTGTTTGGGAGTATCGAACAATGAACAATTAGAGGATTCGGTGCGTGTTCGTGCCGTGTCATACATCGGTTGGTTGGTGCGTTTGAAGAAGAAGGCGATTATCAAACAGAAATTGGTCGAACCAATCGTTCAAGTGGTATTCAAATTGATGGCCACCGCACCAGAAGAGGGTGACGACGAAGATGAAGAAGAATACTTTGCCGAAGAATCATCACCAAAAACGTCAGCCACACAAACGATGAACGAATTAGCCTTACACATTCCACCAGAGAAATTGATTCCACCATTGTTGGCTTTGTTGGAGCCAGCACTTCAGGCAAACGATCCATTGTACAAGAAAGCCGCTTATCTATCGATTGCTGTCATTGCCGAAGGATGCAGCGAAGCCATTTGCAACAAATACCTTCGTGTTCTTTTGGACTGTGTTAAAAATGGCATCTCCGATCCAAATCCAATTGTAAGTGGCCATAAATGATGAAAAAAAGAATCGCATTATTCTGATTTTGATACCGATTTTAAGGGATTGAGAATTTAATATTGAACATTTCATTTGAATTCGTTAGGTTCGCAACGCTGCCTTCTTCTCATTGGGCCAATTTGCAGAGTTTTTGCAGCCAGAGATCAGTAAATATGCGAATGAAATTTTGCCAATCCTTTTCGAGTTCCTTCAAAGCCTTTGCAATGAAATTAGAGTAAGTGGTTTTTATCTCGTTTTGTTTTTTTTTGTTTTTTTTTTCTTCAAATATTTTGTACCGAAAAAAGAGGAAAAGTATTGACCAATTGAAAAAAAGTTAAATTTTTGTAACGACTTATCTAATTTCAATGGTTATTTTATTACAGAATGGTCAACCTGAGCCAAAATCAATTGAACGTATGTTCTATGCGCTCGAAGTGTTCTGCGAAAATTTAGAGGATGAAATTATCCCACATTTGCCAGCATTGTTGGAACGTCTCTTTGAAACACTCAATCCGGCCAACTCCGTGAAGCTGCGCGATTTGGCATTGGGAGCTGTGGGTGCGGTGGCACAAGCAGCAAAAAGCAACATGTTACCATATTTCCCACAATTGATCGAAGGATTGAAGGCTTATTTGGTAAAAACTGATAACGAAGACATTTTAGAATTGCGACCACGAGCCATTGACACACTCGCAACCCTTGCCCGTACAATTGGCAAAGAAAACTTTATGCCATTGGCCAATGACACAATGAACTTTGCCCTCACTCTCCTCTCCGAGGCCAACAACGAAGAGCCAGAGTTGAAGACGAGCTTGTACAACTTGTTGAGCGCATTGTCTGAAGTTGTTAATGCTGAGATGGCACCATTCCTACCGAAAATTGTCGAAACAATGCTTGACAGCGTGAAGAGTTCAGAAGGTTTGGTTCCACAGTTCAAAGGCGACAAAAATGGCGATGGAGAAACTGATGAAGAAATCGACCTCGAGCTGTCAGATGATGAAGATGACGAAGACGATGAAAATCTTTGTAAGTTTTTTTTTCTAAATTCATCCTTTTAATATACTTGGAAATAGCGGTTTAGTTCAAACAAAAATTAATAACATTCATTCAATTTGATCTCGATTAAAGTCTACAGCGTTGACAACGCTTACTGGGATGAGAAAGAAGAAGCAATCTTGGCATTAAAATTGTTGGCTGAATACACTGGGTGAGTTGAATTTTTTTTTTTAGATGATACTTGTGAGAAAAGTAAGAAATTAATTCGATTGAAAGATCGAATGACAATTATTCCCGATTTCTAAAATCATTTTCCGTTTATAGACCGGCTTTTGCTCAATACTTGCAACCGTGCTTCGAATCAATTTACAAGCAATTGGATCACGTTAACATCCGCAAGTCAGCAACTGAAGCATTGGCTCAATTCACGGTTTCATTGTTCAATTTGAATAATATCGATGGTGCCAAAAATGCTGTGTCAATCATCGTTCCAAAGTTCGCCGAAGAATTAAAGAACGATGAAGACATCCATACAGCTATGGCTGTGTTTGAGGCATACAGCGTCATCTTGAACACCATGAAAAGTCAAGCTTTATTCAATGAGGACATAAAAAATCACATTTTCAGCTGCATTCATGATGTGCTTGCATCGAAAGTGGCATGCCAATTCAACGATAATACTGGCGATGAGGAAAATGATGATAGCGAATATTTGGTTGCTCTACGTGAGTTGGCTGGTGAGGTGCTGCCAAAATTGGGACATTCACTTCAGCCACAAGAGTTTGAAATGTACTTCAGTCGTGCCTTACCATTGCTTTTGGAAAAATTGGAAAAATCCCGTAACAATGAAGATTTGAACAGTGAACGCAGTTTAGTATACGGCACGTTGTCAGAATGTTTCTCGGCTCTTCAACAATGCACAGCCAATTGGTTCGATACTTTGTTACCACTTTATTTGGCCGGCGTTCAAGATGAATACGAGGAAGCACGTCAGAACGCTGTCTTCGGTTTGGGTGAATTGGTACTGTTCAGCGGAGAAAAGGCATACGCACAATTCCCACAAGTGTTGCAGGCATTGTCACAGATCGTTGCGGTTGAGAAAGAAGAAGGTGTACTTGACAATATTTGCGGTGCATTGGCTCGTATGATCACGTCAAACAGTACACTGGTTCCTTTGGATCATGTGCTACCAGTTTTTGTACAGAAAATTCCACTTCGCAAAGACTTCCACGAAAACAAAGCCGTCTTCAAAGCGTTCCACGTCCTGTTGGCTCAAGGTAGCGAAGCTTTCCTCAAAACATTGGATCGCGTCATCGTGGTTGGCCTTCATGTTCTTGGCGAAAACGAGTACAAAGATGATGGTACGTATCGAAAATAATTGATTGGAAAAACTTCGTCAGCCTATTTTTTTTTGTTGCATGAACTAAGTACATCAATTTTAATTTTCAACATTTTTTCATTGCTTTTTCCCATACAGAAACTCGAAACATTTTGGCTGATTTCCTACGGGATAGCCGCCAACGATACCCAGACATTTTCAATCAAATTGTTGTCAATAATGCACAACAAGCTCAATACGCCAGTCTCTTGAATTAGTGGGATTAATTTTTAAATTATTTTGTTAACTGTTTACAATTTTTTTTCATTTCAAAATTATCCAAAACGTTTTTTCTTACTCCATTTTTCACTTTATTTTATGCAACATCACGACTCTGGTGGTCGCCTTTACTCATTTTAAGTTAGAAATGATAAAAAAAAATCAAATTGAAAAACATTTGGAATGCATACCATTAAATAAAGAATTCAATGCAAATAAAAATGTTTGTTGTTTAGATTTTTTCATTGTTTTTTATTACAATTTGCCTGTTTGACACAGACGATAGCGATCAGAAGTTACAGAAGAGAAACTTGTATGTAATCTAACCGCACAATTCAAGTGCGGTTTGCAAGTGTTGAATTAAGTGTTCGATCGACGAAAGTTCATAAGGAAAAGTCAAATTATTTCTCTGAGTTGGTATCTTTATTATGAAAATTTATTTTAAGAGGAAAAATCATACGATACTTAATTATTTTGTTCGGAATAATGAAGGCATTTTTAGAACATTTTCTTTTTAAATTTTAAAATTGGCTCACTTGTTCTGATTACTTTTGTCATATTTCTGACATTTTTGACAATTTACTTTTAATGTATTTAATATTTTTTCTTTTTTTTCAATTTTTTCCATCTCTTCCTTATGCTTCTTCGCCATTTTGGCCATCCATTGCTCATGCTCCATTTCCATTTTTGCTATCAACAGTTCATGGTCCAATCTTTTCTGTTCCATTTTATGCTTGTGGTCGATTTCCTTTCGCTCTTTTTCGATTTCCCACTCTGCTTTCATTTTTTCGATCTCATCTCTTGTTTGTTTTCGTTTTCTCGTTTTGCTATTTTCATGTTGTGGAGACGAGCTGCTTGATGAACTTGAAATCGATGGCGATTGGATTTTTGAGTTGAGATTTGCACGTCTGCTTACCTAAAAATAGGCACATAATGATTATCCACTCAAATCAATACAGTTTTAAATGTTATGTCTGAAGAATGTTTCAATAAATACTTGAGTAGAATATTGGTGATGTGAACTACTTTGGCAATTAACGGGACCGATTCGGAGTTCTATCAGCTGTGAATTATCAATACCAAGCTTCGGCTCTCGTGTTGAACTAATGGATGAGCACACTGAAACATCCTCTTTTTCATCAGTTTTGGAAATTTCGGTAGGCGGTGGTTGATCTAAACCATCTTCGAGATTAGGTGATAGTTGATCTGAACCATATTCAAGCTCATCATTATAATCTGTCGATCCAGCCTCAGCGTAATTTAGTTTCTCTCTTCTGTTTCGCAATTCCATAGAAACTGTTGAAAAAAAAATATGAAAAAATTGATTGAATATCAAATTAAAATTGAAACAATTGTTCAGAGTAAATCACGTTTTTTTATTTTTTTGTTGTTCACTCATTTTGGATGATTTTGCGCTACTGAACACTTACCGAAAAATTGCAACGGTAAAATCATTATGTGTTTTTTTCTTTTCATAATCTTCGGCATGTCTATTGCAATTTGTCTATTGTTCTCTTCAGTATATTTCAATTATTGTGCATCTAGCACACGCACACAAACCATCTCAAATATCTCTCGATTTGAATATTTCATTCGTTCCAAATTTCTTGTTTAGATTTGGAAATAGTTTTCCATTGAGTCAATTCGAAAGTTTCCGCCGTTTTTTTTGTCTAAAAATACATTTATTGCAAAATAAATTGAAAATGTACATTAACCAATGTATTCGCCATCGTTAGCTATGACTTTTTTTTCTTTCCCATGGCGTGCAAATGTCTGAAAATGGTTGTTTGGCCGACGTTTAACTGCAATGCAAGTTCGTTTTGCGTTTGGATTGGGTCTTCATCCAATAATGCTTGCAATTCGACATCTTCAATCGCTTCTGGCCGACCTGAACGTTTTTTGTCTTTCAAGTCAAAATCACCACTTTTGAATCGATGAAACCATTCTCTGCAGCTTCGTTCCGATGGAGCTTGCTCGCCATAAGTATCTGACAGCATTCGATGAGCTTCAGCGGCAGTTTTCTTCGAATCAAATAAGAAAAGAAGGGCCCCTCGAAAAAACACCTTATCACGATCCATTTTCAATCGATTCAAAAACAATGACGCAGAACGAAAAATGAATCTTTCTGCTCTGAGTTAGATTGCTAAATGTCACATCTACAAAATGCAATTGGATTCACTTGTCAAGCTACGCTCAGTTACAACTGACATTTAAATGTCAGCGGCGGAAACTTTCGAATTGACCCAATATTTATTTGCATGATTTTTTGAGAAAGCGAATAAACAACAAAAATTGTAATAAAAATAGCGTATGAACGTTTTGTTCGTAAACTTGCATGAGTGGGTATGTGTATATAAGATGATATCTCATTTATGAGACATTGCTGTCAATTTCACGAGAATGGCGCTATGAAATCAGTGGCAGCACATAAACGATTTTTTCATAGGTGTAAATGCCATCTTTTGACTGAAATGTCAATGGAAATTCAAACAAAGCACCAATCCACACTTGAATCTCAGTGTAAATGACAAGTTTATAACGCACACACATACACATTCCAAGTACGTATTCATTTGACAGGTCTCATATTGGATGAGTGTTGAGCGATGTTATTTTCGCTCTATGCATGTAATAAACATGTACGGCGACGTGTCTTTTTCAATCAAATAAAACCACAAAAACGTTCCAATATTTCTTTTTATTTATAAAAACATTAGTGATTATTTGGAAATCAAAAATCGAACTGATTAATATTCAAAATCACATCGTTTTAGTCAATATTTGTATGGAGTGAAATAATTGTGATTGGAAAAAGAGCACCAGTTACATACGTAGACACGATACGACGTAAAGGGAAAAACCCGTTTCGAATTGACAATTCTGAATGAATAAAACTGAATAAAAATGAGTAAAAGGAGACGTTCTGTGGACTATCCAGAACTAAATGGATATGAAAAGACCGATATAGGTGCACCATTGCTGGGCATTGAAAGTCATAAGCACGATCATGTGGAACCGGACATTCGTGGTGATCGTGCAAATATTGCGATCCTTTTTTTCCTCTACCTACTTCAAGGCATTCCATTAGGCTTGACGGCGGCAATACCGATGCTCTTGCAAAATCGCGGTGCGAGCTACAAACAACAGGCAGAGTTTAGTTTTGCCACATGGCCATTCAGTATGAAATTGCTGTGGGCACCGATTGTTGATTCACTGTTTTGGACCCAATTTGGTCGTCGCAAATCATGGCTGATTCCAACGCAGTATTTAATAGGCATTTTCATGCTTGTTTTGTCGTCGCATGTGAAATATTGGCTGGAAGGTGGCCACCTGGAAGATAGTGTTCCGGTATTGACAGCACTATTCTTTGCGCTAAACTTCCTTGCGGCAACACAAGATATTGCTGTCGATGGTTGGGCATTAACAATGCTCAAGCGATGCAACGTTGGACACGCATCGACATGCAACAGTGTCGGCCAAACGGCTGGCTACTTCTTCGGCTATGTCGTGTTCATTGCTTTAGAGTCAAAAGAATTTTGTAACACATACTTGCGTACGATTCCAGAGGCAAATGGCCTAATCACATTACCAGGTATTTTAACATTGAAAGTAATTTTTTCTAAAAGATTGATCGAACTCTATTTAAAATATGATTTTCCTTGAAAGGTTTTCTCTGGTTCTGGGGACTTGTTTTCTTAGTAACAACAACGTTAGTCGCTATCCTAAAAACGGAACGAAATCAATTGACTGACGACAAAGATGCCACTGAGGAAGAGTTGAACATTGTCGACACATACAAATTGCTCTGGCGAATCATCAATATGCGTCCAATTAAAATCTTAGCCGCCATATTGTTGACAGTGAAATTCACATTTGCCGCATGTGATTCGGTGACATCGTTGAAACTAATCGAAGCTGGCCTTCCGAAAGATCGACTAGCATTGCTTGCAATTCCGATGGTGCCTTTGCAGATTTTCTTACCGCTGGTCGTTAGTAAATATACAACGGGACCAAAACCAATGGAAATTTACATTAAAGCCATTCCATTCCGAATTTTGTTCGGCATTTTTGCCACTGGAATTGTTGTTCTAGCTCCATATGCTATTCGTTCAAATGGCGATGTGCCCATTTACCTTTACATCATATTGCTTGTGAATTATTCGTTCTATCAAGTATGTTTATACTGTATGTTCGTCGCAGTGATGGCATTCTTTGCGAAAATCAGTGATCCAGCCGTGGGCGGCACTTACATGACACTTTTGAACACGATATGCAATCTGGGTGGCAACTGGCCGACAAGTATTATTCTCTGGTTAGTCGATGTATTGACTTGGAAACAGTGCATTAGCAGTCAAACTCGCCATGATGATCTGGAACTGTTGAGATTCAACAATACATGCCAATCAAAATTGGAGGAGGAGGTTAGTAATAAGCAATAATTCCAATTGTTAATCCAATATTTAGAATGCATGCTTTGTTCTTGTTGTCATTTCAGTCATGCGCGAAAATGGGCGGAAAATGTGACACAACCATCGACGGCTACTATTTAGAATGTTTGATCTGTTTAATCTATGGAATTGTATGGTACAAATGGGGCACCACGCAGATTCGTCACTTGCAGGCAATGCCAATGAAGGTTTGGCGCGTGGTGAAAGGAGACAAATCCAAGAGATAGCAATTCGTCTAAATCTTTCATAGAAACGACGCTGAATTTTTTTTTCTCAAAATACACACACACACACGATTTAAAATTCCTTTTTTTTAATACCTCGCAATAAGCCTAAACACGCGTCAGGTAGAATGAATTTTTTTTGTTCCGTTGTTTTTTGTTTGTTGTTTGGTTTGAAAAAAAAAATTTAAACGAAAATTGGCGGGCATTAGAATGTCCGGATGTTCACTAGAGTGAATCGATTGATTTTTATGGAAGATTTAGAGACACATTTCAATAGAGCATATATTCCCACAGACTGGTTTCTGGTCCGTCTTTAGACAGTTCAAATTTATGCGAGATTGTGTGTGAAAACCAAGTTACAGTAGCTATACAAATCAATCACATTTAAATGTAAATAATTATAAAATGCACAAACTAATTGAGTTGTTAAATGTTTTTCGTACACATTTAAGAAATATTTATTGAAAATAATATAAAAACAAATTTATGCTGGAATTATATTCGATACGAATTTGATGGTTGTTAATTTTTTTTCTAATTTTTTCTTCAAAATTCATTTAGTCTACTCACTGACTTGCTTTTTTGTTTGTTCCGAGGAAACAAATAATTTGTAGAAATGGGAAAATTTGTTACCAGAAAAAATACACAGTTAATTTTCACAAAGAAAACCCTAATTAGGACTACTTGTTTACAAAAAAAGAGGTAAGCACGTATATTCGTTCAAGAGCTACAAGATTATAATGAAAATCTTCGCCCATCAAATGTTTTCGATAAATGTTTTTCATTTTAAATGATCGTGAAAGCCAAGCGGTTTTCTATCATTACAAATGTGGACAAAGTATTCGGTTGGTAGAGAATTTATCACATTGTGAACCATCTCCACTTTTGGGTTTAAATGTTTTTTTTTTCGATATGAAAAGAATTCCATTCTAATGACTTCAAAACAGATCTCTCTCGTCTATTTTGTTTTCGATGAAGTATAAATTTTATCAAAATTGATTCAAAAATACAGCTAAGCATGTTGCAGTAGCTGTGCAAATTAATAACATTTAAATGTAAATATTGAAAAAATGCGTAAACTATTGTTAAGAAATATATTTATTGAAAAAAACATTTTAAAAAAATATTCTGTAGTTATTTTAACACGAATTTGATGGTTGTTCTCTGTTTTATTCTTTTTATTCGTCTAAATTCATTCACTCGCTTCGCTGACTTGTTTTTTCTTCTTGTTTCGATTCTTATTTTTGCCTTTTCGTTCTTTTTTATCCTTGGATTTGTCTAAATTCTCCCATTTCCAACTCTCCGGTATGTTGTACTCATCGTTGGCCATGCCATTGAAATCGTTTCGTTGCACCTGAGATTGCAGTTGAGCGATCACACTACGTTTGCCACTCTGAAATATCAGAAGAAAAGAGACATTTTCATTTAATATTCATTTAAATATTCAAGCATAATCGCAAAACGATTCTAAATTGACTCACATTCGATTTGTTCTTTTCGTGCAATTGTTTTTGCAATTGAACTTGTTTCTCTCGTTTCAGCGCGATTTGCATTTTTTGCAGTGCTGTTGCATAATCCTTGGCCCTTGATTCTTCCGCGTTATCAGTGACTTTAATCTCTTCAACGTTCTCTTTTCCACCGTCTTTGATAATTGCCTAATGAATTAATAACATTCCGATTGTTTCCGATAAGAAATAGAACGATTAGTTTGATTAGAAATTGATCACAATGTATTGTAATAAGATATACTAAAACAAAACCTTACCTGGAAAGCATTCAATTCACTGGCGACTAGAAGTGTGACAGCTGTACCAGGCCGGCCAGCACGAGCGGTTCTTCCGATACGATGAATGTAGGTTTTGACGTGGCGCGGTGCATCGTAGGATATCACAACATCAACGTTTGCAATATCGATACCACGAGCCAAGGCATCCGAACAGATGATACCATCGACCTTTCCCGTTTGGAATTTCAACAGTACCGAATTTCTCGTACTAGGCGTTAAACTCGATGAGAGTTCTTCAATTTTCATATCATCTCCTAATAAATTTTGCAGCACATATGATAATCGATGCGCCGATTCACCGCTATTTGCAAAGCATAAAAATCGATTCCAATCGTTTTCCTTCAGCAATGTGTACAGTGTAAGTGGTTTGATATTGGGCTGGGTGAGGCAATACTTCTCCGTCAATTCGGATGGTGTTGTGTATTTGCCAATGAATTCGCCACGAACCTTCAGATTATCCATACCACCACCAAGACTATCGGTCGATTCAAACTGTTTGACAATCGATGTAAACAATTTTGGTGCGAATAATTGCAGGCTCTGAAGTTTCTCTGGGTCTTGAGAGAGTGTTGCAGAGAACAAAAGCTTGTGCGGTTGTGTTGATGCATTATTATCTAAGTCATCGTATGACAAGAGCATCGGTTTGCCGGATAAAATCGAGTCGCTCTGCTCTTTCACGTGTGAATCCAAGTGATAAAGCCAATTGTTTTGAATTTGCTCCATGATTCGATCGGCTTCGTCCATTACCAGAAATTTCAACAACTTCAGCGAAAATCCTTTTGTTGAGTGAATATGCTCAACTAAACGACCGGTTGTGGCTACCAGAATATCAACTTTTGAATAGTATTTCCCTTCAAACTGTTCGACCAGTTGCTGTTGTTCGATTTCAAAGGGTGTAAACTTTGAGAGTAGCGCCACTTTCAAGTTAGTTGCTTCGCACAGTTTTTGGAAAATTTTCAACACTTGCACAGCCAATTCGTTTACGGGTAGGACGATTAATGCACGAATTTCGCGCGATACACGATTTGACAGATGCTGTACGATTGGAATGGCATAGGCCAGTGTTTTGCCCGAACCAGTCGGAGCCGATACACAAACGTCACGTGGCCGAAATGGTGTTGGTTTGTTGTGAACATTCAAAATATACGGCACCACGGCTTCTTGCACGGGAAACAAATGCTCGATATTCATTGATTCAAGGCACTTTTTCAACTCTGGCGAAATATAGTCAACACTTTCGATGAGTGTCGATTTTTCGGACAAGTTTTTCGAAATAATCGTTGGATAAGCCAGCCAATTCGGTAGCATAGCATCCACTGTGACTTTTCGTTGGAAATTGTCATTGCCTAAAATCATAAAATCTTCACCCACATCGCGTGATTTTCGATCCTTTTTCACATCTTCAGCAGTCGATTCGGCCTCATTCACTTCCATTGGCTCAGCGGTTTCTGCATCATTTTTAGCCTGATTTTCCAATTCTTGTGCCGCCAATCGAGCTTGTTCTTCTTCTAACGCCTTCTGCTGTTGTTTCACACTTTTCTTTTTCTCAATATTCCGTTTGAGCCGCTCTAATATCCGTTCCTCTTTGCGTGGATCATTTTGTTTCTCTTCGGTGTCATACCTGAAAAATACCGACACATTTTACTAGCATTAATACACAGTGAAGCGACACCAATTGTGGCAAATAATGATGCGATAAATCAATACAAACCGTTGAACAGCAAATAACTCCATTTTAAAAATTAAAAGAAATTTATTTGGCGTGGGAAAATAAATTGCAAGAAAATCGGTTCGATTTGAATAACCTCGATACGTTTATTTACATTGGAAGCATGTTTTGACATTGATTGTCATCTGGCACGAGCACATGCACGCATCGAAATTTGCGCGTTCGCAACGCCGCCTCCCGGATTCCACGCAAACCGTGGCATAGTGGAAAAAAAAATCTGAAGAAGAAGAAGAAGACACGAGTCTGTCATTTCATTGTTAAATTGTAATTATAAACGAAGTGTTTGATATTTGGTGATCCAGAGAAAAGATAAATAAAATAAAAAGTGTTTGCCACCCCGTATACTAGGCCAGGCCTAATCATGTCTTTCACTGATCGCTACTCTGTTAGCAATACAATGCTGAGAGATGGGAATTCACCAGATTGTATTGCTGGCACGTCGGAGCAGCCAATGCAGCGAAGATTGAATTGTGCCCAGCTTGAGGATCGGGGTGCTGCAGCAGTAATACAAGGAGCTTGTGTGTATACACAACTGAGCGTACTACCAAATGAACAGCTATTTGGTAAATTATACGAATCGCTGGCATTGGAAACGAAATTCCAGCCATCATTGTTCCTGCCAGAGGATTCGAATAATGGTGAAGTTACTGTTGGCGCACGAGACGGAGCAGCGCATGTCTTGCGTTGTCTGAAAATGTGGTACGATTTCCCAAGTGATGTACTTTTTGTGGCCGTAAATCTGGTGGATCGCTTTCTCACCAAAATGCGAGTGCGTCCCAAGCATATGGCTTGCATCAGTGTTGGATCGTTCCTGTTGGCTGTACGTCAATTGAAATTGAACATTGCTGACACCGACGATTTGGTAGCGATTTCGCAATGTCGTTGCACATCAGGCGATGTTGAACGCATGTCGACTATTGTAAGTGTAATACCGTTACCCATGAACTATGAACGTACTCGTTTTTGATAGCTCTTTTCTTTTACTAATCTCACAACCACGCAAAAAATTGCGTTTCACTAATGACCTTTGACCCACTCATTTTGGTGCCATTTTCTCTAAATTTTCATTTCATTCCGATGACTCTATCCTCTGTGCAGGTTGCAAGCAAGCTTGGCGTTCAAATGGAGGCCGCACCAATTACACCACTAACATTTCTCCGCATTTTCCACATCGTTCTGCACCGCGTTGCTGTGGAATTGAATCTTCAGGCGTTCTTTGAGTCGACCATGATCTTTCATGATTTGGTCGCACGATTGGAAATTTTAGCATGCGAAGCCAGCTGTGCTAGTATGCGTGCATCGGAATTGGCATTGGCATTGATATGTACACATCTCGACGAGATGATTGCGGCCAAACTTGGTTCGGACAATGATCATGTTCAGGGTCTTGTACAATATGCAATTCAATTGCAAAATCTATGCAAAATCACCGAACATGGATTCTTCGAGACGCACAAAATCGTTGTTAACATTTTGGAACATTACAATGGACAACAGAAACTACCGCATCGTCAACGTTTGGTCTGGAAACTCTCGTCAAGAACATTACGAGTGCTTCGTCCAACCGATCGTCTAACATCCCATCTACCAACAATTGAGGAAGACAACAATCATAACCCACTGCGAACAAGGTACCATTTGTTTTTTTTTCTTCTTCTTCTTCTTTCTTTCTTTTCTTTTTCATTCCAATAATCCAATTGCCCAAATTTAAACTGCAATAAAAAGCGAGCAAAAGCCAAAAATGAGCCTAACAACAATTGGACAACAAAATAAATAGAAAGCTATTTCGACACAAAGCCGATTGTTTGCTTGAAAATTTGTTAATTTCGCATGTGTCGCGCGCGCACATGAACCGTTATTTCTTTCGGTTTTGACTCATTTTGCTTTCGGCACGTTGTAGTGATTCATTTGTTTCACATATATGTAGGATACAATAATGTGTGTTGATTCACACACGACCCCAATTATCATTAATGACCATTTTGTTTATATTTCTTCCGTCCGCACAGAACTGGCAGTGTTTGCTCTGAAGAAGGTGAAGATTGGCCAACATCTCCTATTCTTCCAATCTATGAAAAGTAGAATCTGCGTGCACATCCCATTCATCGAGAGAAGGAAACTTTTTATGAACAACCAACCCAAACACCACCCGAGTGTGAATTGAGGGATTTAAATTTGTCAACAACAAGAAAAAGCAATCTTTAAAATCATACTTCTTTTTTTTCTTCATTTTATATCTCTCTGTAAGAGGGATAGAAAAAAAAACCTATTCAAATTTGAATTCAATCTTGAAACAATTGACTCCGAAAAATCGAAAATGTAAAAAAAAGTTTAAAATTTCTTTCCTAATAACATCCAACAAAAAAAAAAGATTAAAAAATGAGATACAATAATTTAAATGTTGTCGAAACAAAAAGAAAACAAAAAAATGTACTATTCAGGACATCCAGATTGATTGCGTTTAGAAAAAAAATATTGTGTTGTATGGAACGTGTGTGTAAAATTTCGAAAATATTAATTAATTTCTGAGAATATGAAAAAAATGAATAACAGAAAATACGATGAAAACGATAAATGAAAAGCAAGCAAAAATGATGAATACATTTTCAAAGGAAATATATTAATATAACGCGAAGCAAAAAGTAGTTTCATTTCATAATATTCAGTTGCTTTTTTTATTTCAATATTTAGTTTTTTTTTTGGTGTGTCGATTGTTGTTGCTACAAACATCAATTTGTTATCATCATGGTTATTTGTTCATTTACTATGCTAGCATAGCTACGAAAGTAAGGTCAAACTGGTGTTGCATAAAACAAAGAAAAATCCAGAAATAAAAAAAAAATACGCAGACGAAAAAAAGACAGCAACAACAACAGCACCACCATAGTAAAACCGTAGTGAGATAGAAAAAAAAATATGGAGAGCATACAAATGGCCAATATATATAAACCTAACTTCGATTCATCGTCTCTTTGTATTGAATTTCTTTTCCCTTTTGCGTACTTCTTTCAGCTTTATTTAACTCTACTCCATTAAATGAATGCAAACCAAAAGAGCAAAAAAAAAAAAAACGTCTGACTCACACACATCGCATTGCAAAGCAATTGTTCAATACATGTTTCTCATACACGCAAATACATGATTTCACATGATTCAAGTTTATTGCGTATCCATGGTGTTATTTTAGCACCAACAACAAAGCCAAACATAGTTGATAAATTTTCTGTCAGGGTGCGCTTATCTACCAATACATACAAACGACGGTTCGCTTGTGCGTACGTGAGTGCGTCCGTACGTGTGTGTGTGTGTGTGTATTGGTATTGTTGGAATTATCACGTCAATGTGACGAAATCGGACTAATTTATTTTTGGTTTGTTTATGCTTCTGTTGTACGGTATGAGCGTCTAATTCGATGTTATATATATATATATATATATATATATATATGTCTTATGAAAGGCTTGCTAACACTTTACTTTCATATCAATCATGAAACAAAGCATTCCAAAGCAATTTTATTTGATATGTACAAGGCTTGTTTGCTCGTTTTTTTTCGTTTTTTTTATAAACAATGTGGGCCAACACCATTTTCAAAAATAAAACAAACAAACACATGTTTGAGTAGTCGATTTTTTCCCCTCGCTTTTTGTTGTGATAAAGTTTTTTAAAATACTAACATCTGATCGTATTTTATTGCCTTGGTCTCGATCTTCGCGAAATATTAAATGCACAATATTGTGAATTCAACTTCATACAAATGTATATTTGCTCAAGACGAAGCGCGAATTTATAGATAATCTATACATTTCGAAAGGAGTTTTCATTCCAATATGAGAGTCATATATGTTTACGTTTTTGTTCACCTTTTTCGTATCGGGTCGTTCGCATCAGAAAAATGAAGCAGTTAACATTGTATAACGGACTGGATACTCTTTTTATTTTGATTTTATGATATGCAAAAAATCGATTTTTGTTCTTCTATCTTGATTAGCGACGATTCAAAACATTTGATCGAATACAGTTTGTTGCATAATTATAATGGTCGATTGACTTTTTTTTCTTTACAATTTTTTCTAACAACTTACTTCTCTTTTGTCTGATTAACAAGATTATTCCCATATCGATTTGAGCGGCTGTTGACTTTTTTCCTTATATTTGCTTTAAACACCTAGATTACTTTGAACATTTTCTATAAAGGTAAGCATTATTTCAATCCCTTGTATATAAGAATTGAATGCAGGTAGGTATGACATATATTAAAATGCTCTAGGGTGAGATCAAGAATAAGGAAAATAGAACTGTTATTGGATTAAATGGATGGGTTTCTTACCTCCAATGATCGTATCACAATAAGAACATTACACATTTCAATATATTCTTATACGATCTAACCAAGAGCCATAGTCTTAGATTGTCATTTTAATATGAATCTTCGATACAAAACAGTGAAGTAGTTACTACAGTGTTATGAGCATTACATAATAAGAGCAGAAAAAAGTGTCCAAAGAGAATGAAAAATCAAATTCAGACATACAAACATATGCTAAAATGACCTTACTACCCACGCATTCACATTATGATCAAAATAATGTTCAGAATCACAATTCAAAATAGAGATCATAGCATTCTTTTCATGTTTCTTATGTGTGTTCAAGGTCTTTGAGTCAACGGATATTCATAATCTTTTAAAATCTAGTGTTCAATGGGCGCTATGATAAAAACATGGATATTTGGAATTTTAACTATGGTCGACTCCCAGTCCTGTGGCCGTCTTATAGGAGAAAACATAATTGTGTTAAGATAATGGTCGAATGAAGTATTTTCCAATAAAATTGGAAAATTTTCAATTTTATTGTCACTTTGATCGTTTTTTAGACGGTTTTCAGCAATGGTACTTTGATTCGGGCATGAAACTAAAATGAGAAATTCTCGGAATTTCGTAACTATAGCTGTTTGTTATAGAGATAAATTTTCCAATTATTTGATACATAGCCACTGTTAAATAAATAAGCATAAAATAACACGAATTAAGCTATGTTGATAGTCTCAGGCTTCATCAGGATTGACATTCAAATTTAAATCATGTTGTTGTCGTATAAATGACATCTGCTGAGTGAGTGATACGACGAAAATCGTATGCTAATTGAATTTTAGCTTCATTTCTTGGGAAATGAATCAATCCAATGTCGAATTTCTTGGAAATATTATCAAATTATTCGTGTGACATCCTTTGGTAATATTCGGCTTACCATAGCCAACTACGTCAAGAAATCGCTGATACAGTGAACATTCGGATATCTTAAATAAATAGTTTGTTTTCGGAGAATAGCTTAAGTTTTCTGTACGATTAAGATTTGTAGGACTTGAGATTTCCGAATGTTCACTGTATTGTTTTTTTTTTTTGGCTTTGAATCATCTTGATATTCAAAATATTTTTTTCATTGCTCATTAATCATTTTCATTGATAAAATATTTTTTTCATTGCTCAAACACCACGGCCATGGGTAGCTTTAAAGGGGAAAAATCTTTTCGATCGCAGTGAAAAGACATCTCTCAAGATCTTAAACTCGTCGATGGCTAGTTCGAATTTCAGAATATGTAAAGCTCTTAACGTTCAACTTCATCCTTCTTCATTCTCAAATGACATAGGTAATATGAATTAAAAATTGAACTCAATTATAGCATTTAATTCACAAGAAAAAAATATACATCATAAAATATTTTGTAACTTTTTATTGTTTCAACTATTGAAATGAAAAACAAGAAATGTTTGTTGTTTATTTTGTGGTTTTCTTCGAATTAATCAGCTTAATGTATTCTTATTTCTAGAGCAATACGATTGAAAACATTCGAAGTGAAAATGTATTTTTACATTTTTTTAGTTGGTCATTGACGCAAAAAAAAGGATTTTGACACTGTATAATGCCAGATTTTCATTACATTCATTTATGATGTGCAATCATTCGACTCAATTTTGTTTAGATTAGCATCCAGTTTCATCAATTTGTAATCTGGAAGTAAATAAATGCTCATTTATGATTAGCATGTTGTAATCACTTCCGTACACAGCCGCATCCACTTACACGATGAAGAGAGAACAAATACAAGTAAAAACGCACCGAAACCACGTATTCATTTGCGTTGCGTTCCTTAGGCTAATGCACTCTATCGAAAGACATGAAAACCCGTGTCTTGACTTTGACATTTGTCATACATATGCTTGCTGTTGTTATTATCATTGAATGAAAATAAAACACGATCGTTTCAATGTATTTTGTTGAGCTGTCAACTAGAATTTCTAATCAGTGCCTTTCTATTTTTTTTTTTTACATCAAATAAGATTTCAGAAACAATTTTAGATTTTTTTGTATAAATAAAATATGGATTCGTTTACAATGAACAGAAAAAATCAACGAATTCAAAATGCATCACAGAATGCGAACAAAGGCAATGAAAATAATCAAAGCGATCCGTGGGGCAATCAAGAAATTCGAATTGTGGACAGTGTCGAAAAGTGCCAAGATGTAGTGAAGCAATTGCGATTGTATTTGAAAATTTGCCGGAATCATTTCGGTTCATTACAAAATGAAATTAATCCAAATATTCGTTTCCTTGTTTTTTAGGCATTGCAATGAATACAATGTACTTGGTGTTGGTTCTGATCGGGTAAAATTTGTAGGTCAAAAAATTGCACTATTGCTATTGGCATCGCATCGTGGATTGTGTATACTCATACGATTGCACAAATTAAAGAAGATTCCAACTGAGCTGCGGGTTTGTTACATTAAATTGAAAAATTGCAATTCCTTTCTTGATTTTTTGCTCTGTTTTTTTTTTCTATTTTGCTTTGGGAAATTTTGGAAGACGAAACTATTGTGAAATCGGTGTCGGTGTTAATATGGTTGAACACATCAGAGATACTGCGATAAAATTGACCGATTATGATGTTCGCGTTGAGAGCATATTCGATTTACGATATTTAGCACAAAAGCTTGATGATCGTATTGATCAATCGGTTCGATTGAAGGACCTATCGAAGAATTTTTTGGATATTAAACTCTTTGAATTTGACCGACTCGCTAACAGTCATTGGAAAAAAAAAACAATTAATTTAGATACACGGAATGTAAATTATGCCGCTAAAACTGTACGTGTTGCAATTGAACTGTTCAAACATTTTGAAGAGAAACTTGTGTTGGAAAATTCGTCCAACGAAGGCGTTCAAACATTTATTAATGAACATTGCAAGCCTCACTTGAATCATATTTATCGAAATAGAACGAAAGAAGCGGGGCAAAATCAATCAACTGAAACAGTCGATAAACAAACAGTGCAGGAGAATGAACTATTGAGCAATCCAGAAATTCACGTTATATGCAATGTCGAAGACTGTGAAACTATGGCAGAGCAGCTTCGAAAGTATAATAACGCTTTGTAAATAGTTATTTAAAAAAAAGTAAGACTTTTGTTTGTTTTTTTAAGACACTGCAACGAATACAACGTTCTTGGCTTTGGCTGCAGATATTCAGCCAACAGACAAACGGTTTCTTTATTACAATTGGCATCACATCGTGGACTATGTGCTTTAGTGCAATTGAGGAAATTGAAAACAATTCCAACCAAACTTCAGGTTTGTCACTAATAGATTACAATTTAATCAAGATATATTTTTTTTAAAACAATCTACATACTCGTTCATGTTTCCATCAAGGATATTCTCGAAGACGAACATATTCTCAAAATTGGCGATGATGTTTCGTTCAATGTGAATAGATTGGAAAGAGACTATGGATAATCATTTTTAGTAGATTTCACCATCGCGTAATGTAACGTTTTGGCCCATTTTCGTGGTAATTTCAGTGTTATATTAAACGTGGATTATGTGCATATTTCCCAATAAAATGACAACTTCCAATGAAATTCATTCAAAATGTAACAAATAACGGACGGTTCACATTATGCTCGCTCCATTCTACACAGACCGTACAGCAGATATACAAACACGAAAGAAAGAATGTGAGAATGAACCGCATACAGAAAGAACAATCAAGTAACATAGCTATGTGTACTGTTGCTCTCGTGTATCCTCTGTTGCTTCTCCGCTTCGTTCGTTTCATTCTTGTGTGTGTGCTGGAGCAAGAATATTTTCATAACAAATCGAAGTCTGACTGTGGCGATCGAATCCATTCGAATCGAATTGACAGCTCTTACTGTTGCTGCGTGAAGAACAGTGCAGTTTTTGTGTTCTGAATTTCATAACGATGCAAAATATCTACTCTGAGTCGAATTCGAACGAGATTTTGAGTGTTCATCAACACATTTTTCTGGATTGTGCTGTTGTATTAGTGTTGCATTTGATTCGGTTGTGATTTCTGACTAACAGGACATTTGCAAAACGACAAGAGTACAATATTCAAAATTCAGCATTGCATGGTCAGTTTGGTGTCAGAATTCGTTGAGGCAAGTTGATTGTTATATTGATGGTTCATTGATTATTTCTTCAAAACAAATTGTTATTTAGTCAGTGTTTGATCGAAAGTGCAGTAATTCTGATTAATTTGTTCACCATTTTATTTTTCATTTTCATTAGATCAAATTTGGTGAGCATGAAAAGAAAGCGAGCCCAGAACGGGCGACCGAGATCGGTCAAACTGTCGCTGAATTCGGTTCTTCGGGATCAATATCGCGCGAATTTTGTGGCACAAGTCAACAATTGGTGCCACACAGCCACCGTCATCACCGTTTTGGCGTCATTGTTGTTTCTCTTCGAGAACAACCGAGCATTCGACGAAGATAACCACGGCTTTTTCAGAGGCAATGGATACGAATTGATCAAGGATTGCTTCAAGAACATTTTGAACGAGAACCGACACAAATTGCCGTTGGCCTTCCGCCAAATAATCGAAACAGCAGTGCCGAACTTCCGATGGCCACAACGTGAAGACATGCACAACGCATTCAATCAGCTCATTGATCAATACACCACCAATGTCAAGAACAATATCAAAACGTGGTGCTACACCCGTATCAAAACGTTTTTCGTGCTGCAACGGTATGAGCTCAATTTGCTTGGCCATAACATCAGCGACATCGATGTGAAAAATGCCACCAAAGCTGTTATGTTCAACAACATAGTGCCAAGTGCGAATGTGGAGCGGCTGCTCGAGCAAGCGCGTATGATCGGAATACCAGTCGGTACGAAGTTGTGTGATCTCGTTGGTGGTAGTTGGTTCCAGACGATACCGATATTCATCACCATTCAACGGCTAGTGTTCAACCACCATGAAAGATTCGAGCTCTTGAATGATCTCTGGCGCCGATATCATCGGGATCGATTGCACAACGCCATGCCATCCATTGCACGCCCACCGAAAATAAAAAACTTTCGTGCAATTCCGATTCATGACTTCAAGATGAAGCACATCCGGATCGATATTCACCTGTTCTATCAAATGGCGCGCAAATTGGGTGCCATCAAGTTGGCAAAAGGATTGTTTGGCCAGCCGGTTAACATTTCGAAAAAGGTCTACGACAGCAATCCATTTGTGTCCTGGGACACAATATTCAACATGGACAAGATTAAGAAAGTCGGCAATCGCAAGACATTTGACTACGCAATCGTGACGGATAGTGTGGCTGTTTCGTTGTGTTTCCTGAAGCCAGAATGCCCCTCACACGAATATTCGCACGAGCAAATCAACGAAATGTACGAAAATGGTGTTTTCCGCTTCGTGCTAGGCATGGACCCTGGTGTGCGGACCTGGAATGCCACGGTGCGAAAACATATCGCATCCGGTGTGGAAGTGAGTAACAATGATTTGTTTGTTTGTTTTTTCAGTAATTTCATTTATATGCATATAATCATGATTCTTTGTTCTTTTTTCTTATTTTTCTTTTTTGATTTATTTGATTGTTTGTTTTATCAGTCAGTTCATTTATATCCATATAATCATGATTCTTTGTTCGTATTTATTTCACACAGGAAAACATCACGATCGACGGTCCGAAATACCATTTTCGAGCGAAATATGGCAAACGAAAGCGCAAATCGGAAAAATGGCTACGATTGTTCACCGAATTGGAGCAACACGACCGAAATCAATATCCATTCTATCCATCGCCCAAGGGAGCCTCAAATTGGATGAGTTACATTGAACATCGTGTGAAAATGTTGCAGCCTGGAATGGAGGTTTATACAGCACGCAAATACATTCGCCTCAATCTCGATAAACATATCGAGGAGACCCGTGCAAGTGATACCATCGCTGCTTTTTTGACCAGAAAATTGCCATCGCTCATTTTCCTTGGTGCAGCTCAAATGGCTCCAAATTCGCCGATTGGTATTAAGAAACGGTTGCGGTGCCCTGGTGTACGGAAACTACTGAACAGCTTCAAGAAACTGCACAATTGTGTGGTGGTGATGGTTGACGAGTACAAAACATCGCAGACGTGTGCAAAGTGCTTTCAGCCATTTGATCGACGTACAAGAAAGGACCGCTACAAAGTCTGCCGTCAATGCATTCCACATGCAGCAAATATCACGACTGACAAACACCTGAGCAGTGTGATCATCAGCAAGAAAAGCAACCGGTTGTATCAACGAGAGCGACGACATGTTGTTGCGGAATATGAACGATTGAATGTAGATTCAGTGTATTCACATGGTTTAGTGCCGAAACTCAATGTATGGTTCAAAAACTGGCAGCTAAACATTGATAACACATGGAACGATTCACGTCATCCACATCAACAGAACACTGTTTGGCATCGGGATGAAGTCGCTGCCAAGTGCATATTGTACAAAGGTATGTATCATACATTGAAAAAAAAATGTGAAATATTCTGGCTAACAATTGTTGTTTGTGATTTCGGTTGTTTCAGGTCTTTGTATGATAAAGGGCTTGGATGTGCATCCGCAACTGTCGAGACAACATCATGCAGCAGCTGCAGCCGCGCAGAACAATGCCGAAGGCGACCAAGATGACAACGATAGCGACAGCGACGATGATTACGTTTACGTTCTCAACGACGTGTCCGATGAAGAATAGTTTTTAGTTGATGTAGGATTAAGTTTTCAAACAATAATAATTGTAACGTTTTGTTACTTTGCTGGGCTTTGAGTATTGTGGCCTTGTCCGAAGTACGGGGCTTAGTCGGATCATATAAAATGCCTCGTAGGTGAGTATCACTATTTATTAGCATATTGAATATTGATTCATAATCGTTTTTATATCATTCTAATTGATTTGTTTTTACTATTTTTTTCTACTTCCATCGTGACGTTAAAAATGACTGAAACTACACACAAATGCGGGCCTTAATTCGACATACGCTTGGTAATGGATGTATTTGCGTTAACAATTGTTTCTTGGGTACAGCCATGTTACGGAATACAATGTACTCGGTTTTGATTGTGAATCGAAATCGCCGGGCGGACGTGAAACTGCCTTATTGCAATTGGCAACACATCGTGGTCTGTGTGTCTTGATACGATTGTGCAAAATGAAAACGATTCCTATTGAGCTTCAGGTAGGCCACTTCTGTTTTTGAGTAAACGTTTCCAGTTTTTTTTTCTCTCTGTATGTTTTAAACATTTTCGATTTAATAATTTTTCGGATTTATTTCTGTTTACATTTCAGACAATTTTAGAAGATAAAACGATCCTTAAAGTTGGAATTGCACCACATTCGGATGCGAATAAACTGTTCAGCGGTTATCGTCTCAAGGTTGCGGGTGTAATGGATCTGAAATATTTGGCAAAGAAATGTAAATGTAAATCACAAGGTATTGGGAAATTATCGGAAGAAGTGTTGAAAGTTCGACTAAGTCATAAAGAAAAAGGTCTTTTGACGCAAAAAATACACAAAAAATGGGAAAACGACGCATTGGATGACGAAAATATCAAATATGCAGCTGACGATGCACATGTTGCAATTGAATTATTTAAAAAATTTCAAGAGAAATTAATGCAGCCAACAACATGTTCGGGCGATCAAACGAAAGATGTGCAGAAATTTATCGATGAATATTGCATGTCTTATTGGACAAATAAGCAAAAGAAATATAATTAATTAATCTTCGATTCATATTCGTGCCAAAATGAAAATTTTACAATAAATAACCTCGTGCAGCTTGGCTTCATTTCCTCCACTTCCATATGTTTGCAATGATGTTTGAACTTTGACAAGCAAGCTTCTACAATGGAAATTAAATGCGAGTGAAGACGCCACAAAAATGACTCCAAAATCGTCGATTAATGATCGAACTACTTTCGAGATGTTTCCAATGAAATCCCATTAAAATGATCAATTCGTTGCATTTATACTGTTTTGTTTATCAGTTCAAATGTTTGTTCAAATTTTTTACTTGGTCTTTTGAAAATTTAGCATTTTTGAATTACATTATTAAATCTTTGTTTTGAAACCACAACTTTTGATTTTCACTTAATTTCATTCATTAATGTTCTGGAATTAGCTAAATTCAGTCAATTTTCAATACGTTTACTGCGGTTTCTCTTATAATTTCTTCTATTACACAGCGGCAAACCGACACAAAAGAACGCAGAGAAACGGCGTATCCGCATGCGTTGCGTTCGTTGAACTAATGCATTCTATCGCAAGGCATAACGCAGCCGGTGTTTTGATTTTGACACTTCTCTCATATGTTGTCTTTTTTATTATTATCGTGTGCAAGTAGAACTGTGTGCCAGTGAAATTTTCTGAGTTGTTCCAAATTTTTTTATGAATTTTTTTTTTGCCGGAAGGAAATTAATTAACAATGAACAAAGGAAATCTTGCAGCTAAAAAATCAGCTGTGAATTCAGTCAAAAGCAATACAAATCATCGTAGTGACCTGTGGGGCAATCAAGAAATTCACATTGTGGACACTGTCGAAAAATGTAAAGAGGTGGTGAAGCAATTGCGATTGTACGTGAAAATTTACCGAAACTTATTAACACTTCATTGAAACTGAGATTATTTTCGGACAATGTTTTATTGAAACGGACCCAAGTCAATGGAAACCTCTTTTCTATTTTCAGACATACAAATAAATACAATGTCATTGGCATTGGCTGTAATACGAGAAATTTTAATCAAAAATTTGCACTCATACTATTGGCATCGTATCTTGGATCGTGTGCACTAATAAGATTGCACAGTTTGGACAAGATTCCAAGGGAGCTTTGGGTTTGTTACATTGGATTTTATTTCGACAGCGATATTTATCAATTTTTTTCTTTTGCAGAAATTTCTAGAGGACAAAAATATTGTGAAAGTCGGCGTTAATGTAGCTGAAATTGCGATAAATTTGAGCAAATGTGGTCTCTATGTAGCGAGCATATTGGATCTTCGGTATTTAGCGCAGCAATGCAATTATCCGCCCGAGAGTTTGGCCTTACTATCCGCCAGCCATTTGAAAGTGGTGCTCATTGAAAACCATCGTCTTGAACGAAAACATTGGACTAAACCAACAAATAAATTAGATATTCAAAACGTTGAGTATGCTGCGAAAAGTGTGCGCGTTGCGATTGAACTGTTTAAAAAATTCGAAAATGAAATAAAATCGAAAAATCTGTACCATGTACACGATCTCAGACATCGTGTACAAATGTTCATCAATAAAAATTGCAAGCCGCATTTCAATCATATTTACCAGAAGAAAAAAGAGAATGAAAATCAAACGACGGAAACGGTCAATGTCAATGTAGCACAGAATGACAAACCACGCAATCGGGAAATCCACGTTATAAGCAATGTTGAAGAGTGCCGTGCTGTAATGAAGAAACTAAGAGCGTATGCCATTACAATTCACACTTTAACCATTTTAATTGATGCAATTAGATAAAACTTTCGATTTTCTTCATGTTTAGGCACTGTAAGAAGTACAACGTACTTGGCCTTACTTGCAAATATGAGTCAACGAAAGGATCTGTTAATTTATTGCAATTGGCATCACACTGTGGACTGTGTGCACTATTTCGATTACGAACATTTGACAAATTTCCAGTTGAGCTCCAGGTTTGTTACCAATGAAAGCGTTCAAAAAAGAAATTTTCGACACAATTTTTATGTTGTTTTGCATTTTGATTCAATCAAGGAAATTCTTGAAGACAAAAATATTCTCAAAGTTGGCCATAGAGTATCGTTCCATGTCGATAAATTGGAAGGTGACTATGGCTTTTGTGTCGCAAGTGCAATCGATCTACGATATTTGGCGAAGGAATGCGAATATCCAGCAGATGACCTGGAACTCTTATCAAATACTTGCTTGAATTTTGATCTGAAAACACTTGACTGGCGAGTACTCAGCAGCGATTGGAAGTACATTTCATTGCGTGAAGAAATCGATTATGCGGCAAAAATCGTACATGCCACAATTGACTTATTCAAATTTTTTGAGAAGAAATTAGTAGCCGAAAAATATTTGGGCAATCGTACGAAATTCTTCGACGAACTCTGTTTGGCCCATTTAAAAGAAGAAATTCAATATTCCACACTGCCCCCACAAGAAATTCGCATCGTGAGCAATGCCGCAGAATGTCAATCAGTTGTCGAGCGATTGCGAATGTATGGATCCAATCAGATTTATTCGGATTGGGCATTTTCAAAGTGAACCACAATAATGAATTTGGTTTTTAATTTCAGACATTGCGATCGATATAACGTGCTTGGTTTTGATTGTGAGTGGAATACACCTGGCGGACGTAAAGTGGCTCTATTGCAATTGGCAACATATCGTGGACTGTGCGCCTTAATACGATTGTGTAAAATGAAAACGATTCCTGTTGAGCTTCAGGTTGGTTCCATCTTCTTTGCTGGGATTCGAATGATTTCGATTTCTTTCTGATTTCTTTGTTCACCTTTTAGGCAATCCTGGAAGATGAGAATATTCTAAAAGTTGGTATCATGCCCCATAAAGATGGAAATAGACTAGGTAATAATTACCGCGTCGAAGTGTCCGGTATATTGGATCTGAAGCATTTGGCCAAGAAATGTAAATGCAAAGCCGAAGGAATACGCAGCCTATCCGAAGAAGTTCTAAATGTTAAACTGGATTATAAAAAAAGAGGCCGGATATCACGAGAAATACATAAGAGTTGGGAAAATGACAAATTAAATGACGAAAACATTCAATATGCGGCAAATGATGGGCACGTCGCAATCGAACTATTCAAAAAGTTTCAACAGAAACTAATGTCGACCAATCATTCTGACGATCAAACAAAAGATGTGAAACAATTCATCGATAAGCACTGCGCATCACATTTGAAAAAAAAGGCAAAACCCAAGCAGAAAAAAACAGCTAAAACCAAGCAGAAAATCGCTAGTTTTGGACATTTAAATGTACAAAAGGGAATTCAAACACATCCGAAAATTTTTGCCATATGCACATAGTTTATTTTGAGGCACGGATTTATAATCAAATTCACGAATAAAACAACAATAATTCCTATCAAAAACTTTTGCTTTTCTTTTTCTTTCGAGCAATGCTATTTTCAGAGAGGAAAATATATTAATTATTATAATAATTTGGGTAATTAAAACTGGGAAAATCAAAAAACTAGAGCGTGGAAATGGTTTAAAATCAATTGGATTCAGTTCGAAAATTTAAGAGAAACAAATTTTGCGACTCAGAAACAAATCAGCTCATTTATCGACTCGCATCGATAAATTAGTGCGATAGACACTCTCCAACTCATCTTGACATCGATATCATAACTTCCGAATACATCATAGGAATACGATGAAATAGATCGATCAAGCAAAGCGAACAACATGAAAAATTTCGTTGTCGTTGTTTTTTTTCCCCAGAGGAATGGCGTAGAGGGATGAACAGGGGCCTAAGTCAAAAACTTAAAGAATTGAAATTGTCTTGTATGAATTCCATTAAATGTATTCACAGCATGCTAACAATAAACTAGTAAATTCTTGCAAAGATCTTTCATCGCCGCATATTACTTACGTTTTTCAAATCCTTCCCAACAGAGTTAGTTCCAAACAGGTGAAAGTATCTTGAAAATTGGTATGGATAAAATAAAATATGGAAATGAAATGCGTTCGAACTATTTTCAATGGTCAAACAGAGTGCAAAATAATTGTCGACTTTATTTGGAATATTTATGGTCAAATATGGTAATATAGTTTTTTGGTGGTCTAAATCAGAAATGTTTCCATTGGTTGTTGTTGTTGTTAATACTTTTTGTTGAATTTGCTAGACACATAGACGTTTAATTCATTTTTTTTAAATACTGATGTGGGTTTTTTTTTACATTTTGTTTAAACATTTCTCTCTCATCTAAAAAAAATTATGTTTGTTTGGACAAAAAAATTCGATAGATTGGATTGGACATTAAGTACGTGCATTCGGTAGTTTTGAAATTGAAAAAAATAAAAAATATTCATTTTGATTTTGAAATATTTTGAAAATTATTAGTCAGTTTGCTAATATCTTGTCTAGTTTCCAATCATGAACATTTATTTGTATTATTCTTGCTGTTTTGTCTTGTTCGTTCCGCAAATGTTATTTCCTTGCATCGAATTGGCTCCGGTTAGAGATTTAGATGTGTTTGCTATTTTAGATGATATTATAACGGTTAATGCACGCACTTTTTTTTCTTGTTCTCACATATTCATAAGACCATACGACTTAAAGCTTCTAAATTTGTTGTTTAACTATTCGCAGGACTGTTGAAATAAAACTTCAATTTAAAATATTCTGTTTTCTTCGGTCACGCTACTAAAATAATCAATCGTCAATGTTTAACTTCTACACAATAATAAATGTATTTGTTTCTTTTAAAAAAATTTCTCATTTTTTCTGTCTCTACTTAAAAATTAAAAACAAACGAGTAAATCAGAAAAAAAACACATTTCTTTCTTTTTGTGTGTTCATTCTTTTTGTTTAATAATAATCAATCAGCTAAAAATGATTTCTAATTAATAATCATCATATTTTTGTTTTGTTTTTGTGTCAATCCATAATACATATGCGCTCATCTCAACTTTCTAGCTAAAACATACTATGTGGACACATTATATAACACATTTGTAAATAATATTCCCTCATTTTAAAACGCTAAATACACAACAATCGGCCGACATGCGACTTAAACACACCAACAACTGCGTACTTGGTAAACCACATCAATCGCTTCATCGTCAAAGCCTGTATTTGCATAATTATATATATAGTCTGTCTTGTTTTGCTTTTGCCATCAAAGCACAAATAAATGAATTCTAATTATTTATAGTCAATCTAACATGCATTCGTTATTTGTTTTTATTTTGAAATTTTCCTAGACAAAATTGTGCCTAGTGTCCATGTCTCAATTTTGTATTTATTATTGAATCAATATATATGCATTCATTTCATAAATATCAGCATCAAATCACATGGAATCGTAAAATGATTGGCTTAAATTAATGTAGCTTCTCGATTTGAATGTTCGATGGCAGCCAGTAAATCATTTTTTTGACGAACATACAAACGGCCACGCTTCCATGGGTATTGCAACTGCAATGGCTTAAAATCATCGCGCAGACAACGTTCTCTAGCACCAATTACTGCGACCAAGCAGAAATTATCGAATTGTTCAGCACCGTAGATTGGTCCGTCTTTACCCTTGAGCACAACAGCCATATTTAATTGTTTCACCACTAAATCGACCACCTCACGTGCGGTTGTCCGTGGTGTGACATGGAGTTTTAGGCTTGTACCATTCGCTAAACCCGTATTGTATGCCGCAAACACCTGAATGATGCCAGGCAGCATGTTGCTTGTCGTTGCATCCTCTTCATCATCGCCGGCCTGACGCTGTGGCGAGCCTTGTTTCTTCTTGCTGTGTTCCGGTGAACTTTTCTGGCTACTCGATGGTCGGCGTTCAGCTGAAATTTTAAATGGATTCGTTGACGGATAGTCCGGTGTGGATGATTTTCGCACCGGTTCAATGGCATCACCTTCGGTAATGTGCAATTGATCTTTGAAGATGATTGGATCTTCGGTAAACAACTTCAACTCTTCCTTTTTGCTTGCAACTAATTCCTTTGGTGAACCACCGCTCGCCGCGATCGGTGTGGATGTTGTCATCGTTTCTCGTGCAATCACCACATCTGAATCGGTGGCTGGATTTGAAATGGATTCGTTGTTCGGTTTTTGCATAAACGGTTTGGATGGTGTGACCGGTGTCGATGAATCGCCGGCAAATGTTGGATTTACAGTCGTCGCACGTTTTCGATGTAATGGTGTCGAATGCTTTTTCGATAGTACTAATGTGTCTTCGGATCGCGATGGTGGAAGTCGTTGATTTATGTGTTCAACTGATTCTCCAGCTGAATAGTAACTATTGCCCGAGTGTGAGAAATTTGAGTCCGCACTATTTTTACGTGATGACGTTTCAATGCCCGATGTTGCGCTCAAGTATCGTGAACTCATATTGAAACTGGCACCACTCAATTGTTGTTCAGATTTTGAGTGTTCGGCACCCAGCAAACCGTTTGCGCCAAGTGAATGCGTTGGACCGGGCCAGCTTCCACGTCCCGGTGAACTTTTGATCGATCCCCGTGGCGGTGGCGGTTGCAACAATTGTTGATTGATCGGATCACGCGTTACCGTCAATTCCTCTTTATTCATTGGACTATATTCGAAAATATCGCGCATATAAAGACCAAGATATGCGCCACGATCACGTGCAAAACTAATCACGTCCATCAACCAACGTACACCCTTCCAAATAGCGTTCAAGCTTTGCGTCAAATCTTGTAATTTGGCTAAACGTTCTTTGGCCGCTTGCACTTCAATCGTTGAAAATGCTTCGCGATGCGATTGATTCGCCAACACCGTGTCCAATTCCAAAATGCACGATAAACGTGAATACTTTTGAATGATGCCACTCTGGTACGTTTTCAAATGAACCATTTCGAAGGCTTGAATCGGTAGGCTCAGCAAATCGCCTCGTTGTAATAGAATTTCCCTTTGTCCAGGTACAGCGCACGATGATTCGGCCGGCGGGCATACAATCAAAAAGCTAACATCCGCACTCAATTCAATCACTTCAAAATCATACAGACGATTCGGCATCGCATCCTCCAACGAAATGTCCATGTATTTGAAGAGCCGTGTGGCGGCCGCAGTTAATGCACCAATAAATAGCTCTTGGCCACTAGACGGCCGATCATCACCCATATCCGTATTGCCCGTCAGTTTGGTTCGTTTCAAAAATTTCCACTCTTCCGACGAAATATGGTTATTTTCACGGATCTTCGAGTGTGGCAAAATATTTGGCGTTTTTGCCGGTACAACAATTTGAATTTGATCGACAGAGCTTTGCATTTTTAAATAGCCTAGATACAAACCCTTCGACAAGCGCACCGTTGATGCTTGATGGTAATTGATTTGCTCTTGAATTGAACTCAACAAAATCTCATTGATGTTGTTATCTTCGTGGATTGCTGTCATTTTCTTCTGCACTTTGTTTAATGGAATCCACCTTGAGTTGAGTACTGACACAGTTTTCGGTCCCTGTTTTTTTTTTGTCGAATCCAATTGAATGTAGCAAATCCCAACCCGAACAAAAACCGAACGTAGGGGAAAATGAGAAAGAGAAAAGAAAACATAATGTAATTCAGTTGATGCTCACATTACACTACACTACATTGTGTAAGTGTCAGGGAAGAATGCAGTAGAAGAAGAAACAAAGATAATGTGCAATCGCGAACATGTTCGAACTGCACAAACAACTAAATATATTTCTCATACCTTAACGTTGTTTACACAAGCTAAAACAACGGTTCCATGAGAATCGCGTAACGGTTTATGATACAATTGACCTAAATCCTGTATGCATAATGCTGATTGCATTTGACAGGCGGCCGTCAACAATTTCGTCCGAAAGTGAACAGCCGACGTGGCATTCCGTTCCATATCGGTGCGAAGTGTTTTCACATCATCCCAGGTGCAAGCCACCTAAAAACAAACAAAACGATCCGATTTTAGTGCATCAGCTCCATCTAGTCAAATCCGAAAATAGTTTCGAGTGTATGAATTTTCAGTTCATTTACCTTCATGAGCCAATGGTAATCGGTGTGCAAACTACTCGGATACGTTTCATCGATTTCGATGACTGGCAAAAAGTCTTCGTTCGTGACCAAGATTTTATCTTCATGGTATAAGATGCAAGCCAAAAATATTCCGCTGTTTTGGGTGAAAATGAAGCGAGAAAAAAAAAGTTAGAACTCAAAAATACTCAGTTCAAATAGAACACAAAAATGCAATTCGAATGGCAAGTGTGCGTTTTGTGTGGATTACACACATTCTCCCATTCCCTTGTTTACCGTCTTAAATTTTTCTGAAATTTCGAGGCCGCTGAAAACAGTTGCTTGATGGTGGTTTTCTTCTTTGGATTTCGTCTTTGTAGCGCTGGTGTGTCTAATGGTATTTCAGATGCATCATTTGGTCGTGATAGACGCACGGCTGTAAAAAGGTCATCAAGAATTTTTTGCCGACCAGCAAATCTTGATTCAATATTCTCCAAATCACGCCAACCTAAGAACAAAACGCACGAAGTATTTGAGTCATTAATAAATTATGGCATTGAAAAAGAGGGAACAGCAGCAAATGTTAAAAAAAGAAGTCGTCAATTCATTGGACAAATAATTTGTCGAGGAAAATTGAGCGACGTGAAAATGAGAGCGGCACAATGTCAATTGGGGCGCATTCAATCACTTACTCGATGGTGTAATACTATTTGGTGTTGATGTGAGATATTGGCCCCATCCCTTGACGTTGCCACAGCATGCACGAAAGAAGTAGCGTCGGCCATGTGTTAAATCGGTTATTCGGCAATTGGCAGCCATTATATTTTGAAAACTATTCCATTCGTTTACTTCACGTTCACCAACGATATTGCTGAAGTCGACACGTGATGACCATTGAACTGAAAATCAATCACAACGAATTAGCCATTAGAACGTTTATTTATATGGTTGGCGGTGGTGGTGGTGTCGTTGTTGTTGTTGCTGAATAATGTGTACGAAAATTGGCAACTTATTATCATGCCACTCATTAAATCATCCATTCATGCAATTCATTGAAAGCGCACGCATTCCACGCTGTTGCCGCTCATTTTCTGCGTCAACAGAACAAAACGTTTTTGATTTATTCCGATTGAGTATTTAGTTGTTGTCACTTCATTACGGTTATTAATTCAAACCCACTGTGTATTCGATACACTTCGGCCGCATTGGTTTAATATTCGGTTTTGTAGCAGATAGCAGTGTCATGCATATACATCGACGAACGGTCGGTCGGTTGATGTCATTTCGTCAGAAATTCAATGAAGATTACGATGATCAGTGAGCGTACCCAACAAATTTGTGAAATTGGCCCATAATCGGCTCTATATTGGTTAATTTGTGATGATCGAATGGTGAGAGGAAGGGAAACCGTAAGCATATCTCTCGGTCAGTGAATACAGCATAAATGTCATATTTAACCATGATTCTTTGAACATAATGAATTCTTACATTGTGAACACTCACGTCTCGTTGATGAGGATGTCGTGCAAAAGCAAATGAAATCGATAATTGATTGAATGCCACTTGATTGACTTTTTTTAGCTGTTAAATCAAATTTAAAATCAAATTCATGCTCAATAGCGCACCACTTGAAGTATCTTGTTTATCAGTCTAGCGCTTCGATTCAATATCTCATATTCTATGTCAACGCATTTCATTGTCGGAATCGTTTATTTCTCTTTTTTTTTCGTTCTTGTTCTTTTTCTTCTTCATAACGTGCATAAATAATTGTCAAAAAATAAAGTCTATTTTTGGGCCAACGGAAAGCAGATAAACAACATTTTCGACGTTTGAATCAACGTAATGCGTATATATTTGTTTCATTCAATTTATCCGCAAACACACACACACACATGCATGCAAGCAAGCAAGCATAAACGTTTTAACTTCATTTATAGGGGTTGCCAATTTTAGGTCGGCTTTCTACGTAGGTGGAGATCAATACAAGATATATGCTACACATGTGTTTTTTTCTGTTGTTGCTTTTTGTTGTCGTTTTATTTTAACTTGGTCTACGGCTAACTATTTTGACACTCACCTTTGAACTTAGTCGCTATTGGCCCATCACCAGATTCCTGTATGCGCAAGTTAGCTGAATTCGTGCTTGTGACATCGATGCCAATGAAATTTGGCGGATCGGGTGGTTTCGTTTGATCCCACCCCAAAAGCATTCGACGCAATCCTTTGATACGACGTTCCCACATGCCAATCTGTTTGTCAGTCTCTGTACCGGTGCAACCCGATACAGATGGTCCAGCGTATGCGGTGCCTGCAAATAGAAACGTACAAAGTACACAATCGGTCAATTTCAGACAGTTTAATAAACACGAACGAAATTGTTTTATATTCCATTATTGATGTCGCAATTATGATGCATTAGGATTGATAACCCATGAACAGAGAAGTATTTACTTGTCATTTTCATTTCAGTCGTGGACAATTCGTTTGAAGTTTGTACGAAATCCAACAAGAAAGTGCAATCTAAAGTATTTGGGCGGTATGATGACAAGGATTGAGTATGGGCGAATTTAAACTGGTGTGGTAACACTTTGTCTCGAGTCGGTGAGAGTGGAATCAAGTGGATGAAAACGGGTGTGAGATTTCCACATTGGTCGCACTCCAGCAACACTAATGTATTTACCGTATGTGCTGAATGCCATCAAATATCAATGACCAGCCTGAGTGCTTCTTCATATCTGGTTTCCGATTCAAATCGATACGCTCTTGAATTCACCATTAGAAACCCTTGTTAAACACAAGCTATTTCATGTAATTAAAACACAAAGTATGTAAGCTTAAAACGTATGCCCAATTCCTTATTTATACACACAGTAATTCTTAGAATCAATGGAATAGCTACTTTGATTTCATAAGACCAGACAATATTAATAAATTGTATTTTGTCACGCAACTTCGATCGAAATTATCAATCAATTGGTAAGTTTTGTTGATGATAAGAGTGCCTTACCATTTATTCACTCAGAAGTGAGTATTTCCTTGAATGAACGAATCTATCAATGTTATATATTAAAATTTCATATTGTAATTGTGTGGCGTCCATACGATTTCCATAGAATCTCAAGCTAGACGTGTGCGTATAATTGCGTTATAATGACATAACGAACGGAGAAAGTTAGTGAGAAAGCAGCGTCTTAGTTTATTCATGGCACAAAATTATAGGGATAATCTGCGGTTTACTCTCTGCCGGAAGCAAAGTCAAAAGAGGACGCCATTCAATTTTCATGAGAATGCCATCGATCCGAATTTGATTGTTTTTGTGGTCGTAAAACCCACACCCTCGTTACGTAGATGGGTTGAAATTTGTTTAAAAAAAATTATTTGAATGGACAACGGTTGATTCAAAGTTTTTCTCTTATTCTCATTCGTTTTACAACAACGTATTCAATGAATGCAAATCAAGCGAATCGATGAAAATCTGATTCTATTTAAATTTCAACTTTTTTCTTTGCCCAATCGAAGACCGTTGTCAAATGTCGAAATAGAAGGGCACGCGTGTGCCTACAAAAGAAGAAGACGGCAGCTTGATTTAATACGTTGGCGTTTTCATTCCATTCATATCTTTCCTATGTCGAAATTTCAATTGAACTCATACACACCAGGAACGAGCATAGGGGGAGAAAGTATTCGACTTTTGCACTTTCAATAAAATTGTGCCTTTTGAACAGCTTTTCAAATAATTATAATGTTCTTTAATATAGTGTGGTGCAAAAATGGAAAATTGCGCAGCGCCATTCTCAGAAGTGAAGTCATTTTGTCAATATGATGAATAAAGTGCACACATACACCGTTTTAATAAAGCAAATGATTGATCAAAAGTCTGCAGGTGTGTATTAACCTTGAGCTGAAATGAAGGCGGCTACGTCGAGCCGAGCCGAGCCTGTTCTTTGATGTACACAAGTAGAATGTAATCACTTTGAGCGATTCGTGTTCGACTTGGAATTTTGTTTTAGCCACCCATTTTCTGGCACAAAGGATTTTACATCATCCAAGTGGAAGGGAAATTGATGCTCAACAAGAAAACTTTTCTCATGCATGTACAGAAAAAAAGAGATATTCAATGATTGTTATTGGAACATATTGGCCGATTTTTGAGTGCGAAATAAATCCTGAGGTGTTATTGAACGATCATTTGAAGCAGCACGTGTCGATAGTAGCACACTAAACAAAATCATATCGAAATTTTGAAGCAACGCATTTTTCACTGGTTCATCGTTATATTTTCCACAAAAATCACTAGACAAGGGCCGGATTTTTCGATGTAAATCATGTCACGCATGAAATGTGTGTGGGTTTTTTTTTGCTGTTGTTCGTTTGGATTTAACGAACATTTATAGACACTCGAGAAAAGTCGAACAAAAATGCGGTGGGTTTTTTTAGTTTTGTTCGTGAGGCACAATACGTATCAATACAAAATGTATTTCCTTTCATTCATATTTGGAGAAAGAAAGAGAGAAGAATAACATCAAATTATTCATGACTCTATTCATAAAAATTTAACAAGTCATTTGGACGCAATTTAATGTTCGTTACGGCACTGATAAAAATAGAGAAAAGATTTTCATTTTCATGATGTCCGAAAATATACACACACACACAAACCACAAACACGAGCGCGCGTTCTAATCCATGGTCTAACTCATTACTGTTTCAATACGAGATATATACGTTTGACCATTGTGTTAATTGAAAAATCCGATATAATATATTTCGACGCGGTGTAAACAGCAAATGTGACAACATCAATGGTATTGAGAACGTTCATGTGTTTCAAGTTTTAATGAGTGTGCAATTCATATAACTTGGAAACACATGTGTCCTGTGATCTTGTGTCGCTTGTTTTGTGTTCTGAAGCATTTTCTTTAAATCCACAACAAAAAGAGAAAGAAAAACGAAGTAGAAACAATTAGAGCAAATTTAATTGATTTCCACTTGTGATTGGAGCCTTGATGCTTACTTCACATTGAAGCCAATATGTGCAATCGTTGCAAATTGTTTGTGCTTGAATTTGCTTGCAGGGAAAAAAAGGTCAAAAGGCTAGCAAAGTTGTATCGATTGGATAGAAGAAAACCAACCATGTGCAGATCTTCTCTAGCCGCTCTATAGATAGATTTTCTTTTCATAATTTTCTTCATTTCTGTGGATCTTTTATGGATTTCCTTCTCTTTTTTTTGTTGCATTATACGCCCCAACGACAAGTTTTCTAATGAGTTATCAATTTATACAACGCAAAAAATTGTTGTTAGTTCCAAACAATAGAAACAGTTTGAATATCACGGAGGCCTCTAACTTGTTATAGCACGCATATTACATGAGACTTTAAAGTTAAATTAGGTTGAATACAAAGGCACATGAAGATAGAGGCGAGAAAAAAAATGATGAATTGAAAATATCCTTAGTAAGGCGATGTAATGATTAAGGTACAACAATGGAGAGAGTTAGAGATAGAGAGGGAGGGAGAGAAAAGTCATGTTGAAACTTACCGATAATACTGGAAAACGAAGCTCGTGTGCTGAATGGAGCTTGCGGAGTATCTTCAATGCCACTCAGTTCTTGAATGCGATTTTCAGCTTCTCGCAGCAAATTATTCAAATGGTTGCCCAACGAATCGGTTGATTTAACTGGAACAAAAGCACACAGAAAAGCGTTTTATATTAAAACCACCAATCAAAATCGATTCCAATTGAATTGAAATGGGAAATCATTGAAACGAAGAAAGAAAACAACAACAAAATGAAATGAACACAAAAACAAAAAATGCTCTCACATTTATTTCCCTCAGTTGCACCGTGTTGTAGCAGCATCTTTGTAAGTGACCGATTGTTGCTAAGCACGGCTACATCCAAAGGCGACAATCCGTCACTGTTCAAACTGTTTTTTAAAGATCACGCAGAAGAAAAAAATAGATATATTTATTTATAGACAAGTTAATTGGGTTGTCTCATTTGATTTGCAAATGTTATTTGTTTCCTTCGGTTCTTGCCTGTTTATATCTACATCAGTTGATTCGAGAATTGTTCGAGCTTTTTCCAAATGACCATTTTCAACAGCCGAAAATAGAGCTACGGGATAAAAAAAGAGAGAGGAAAAATAATAATACATTATTAATTTCGCATTATTCCCATTTCTCGCAATTTCATTTGGGACCAATCACATTTTCAGGGTCGCAGTAGCAAAAAAAACGCATACATTCAAATGATTGAATCAATGCTTTTTTCTGTGGACCGTAGTGATTTAAATTGAAATCGATCCGAAATAATTCAGGTAGGCAAGCAAATGTTGAATTTTCCCTATTATTTCTCTGTTCTGGTGGCTTTTTCTTTTCTTCTATTGAATAAAAGCTTAATCATTAGCTGAGACCAAAACAGTGAAATGAAGTTTTTGTTTGATTTTGCGAGAGAGAAAAAAGGACGACGACGTTTTCGAATAATGACAAGATATGATTTAATTTTTTTTCTCTCCTTCTTTCTGTTCAACATACCCTGTAAATGAATATTAATTTGTGTTAATTTGTCTAATTGTGCCTGTGCCAATTTCAGTTGTTTTTTCGTCATTTTTTGTGGCGGTGCTGCCGTTGATTGAATAATTTTAAAATTATCGCTTAGATGACTTTTAATGTCATTCAATGTGAAACGCTGTGCAACGATGCTCGAGAAGGCGGCTTGCGATTGGCATGTGGCGGCAGCCGTAGTAGCATTTGGTGCTCGTGGTATCAAAAAGTCCATATTTTTGCGATCAATTTCCACCGAATGATGCTTTTGAATCGGATGTTTTTGTTGGATAAACAACTCGTTCAGCTGTTGCTGCTGCTGTTGTTGTTGTTGTTGATAATGATTATGGGGATGTTGACCAATGCATGCAACACGATGCTTGGAATGGCCGTGCGCCTTTCCATTCGCGTAAAATACATTCGATACTGTGGACGGTTTTTTCGATAGATTCGATATTAATTGTACGGGCGCTATCGACGTGGCACGGATTTTATTTACACGCTCCGTTTCAGGTAATATTGCTGATTCTATTGCCATTTCAAATATGACCATCAGGCAAATCATAATTTGAAAAAAAAGAAAGAAAAAAAAAACAAATTAAAATTCATCTGAACTAATATGGTTAAAATTAAAATTGTAACAAATAAAAAAACCGATGTATACGCAAAGTAAAAGCGAACCAAATCTTGAATGTGAAAAAAAACTAAAGCTCTATTTTGTTACAGTAAACTATAAATGGATTATACGAATTGATGGCAGTGAACAATCCCTGTAGGCAACATTTAATGCACGCGCGGATTTAAATCAACCAATCGGAAAAAAATCACCGTTTTTTTTCTGCCGATTGGAAGAACGACGATGGCAAAGCGAAAAGCTCTCACTAACAACATTAAATTAAAATGTACGGCATTTTTTTTTTTGGTCGGAATTCGCATTTTCCAATCCATCGTTTCGGGTCGATACAACTATTCGCAATGTAAACGCGAATTGGTTGTTGTTCTACATTTCGTAACATTCCAATCGGACGAGAGGTGATTTATCAAGAGATTTAAATTCTCCAAGAATATTATTCATCCCGTTCGGGTATGCTTGAACACTTCAATGTGTATCGTGTGGATTGTGATTTCAAATTACTCGTTGAAATATGGATATTTTATTATACGAAATGCATGCAAAATTTGTAAGTGTCACGTTGTTTGTGAAGTAATAAATGAAAGTTGAGACTAAACTGTGTAAATGTTGACACAATTCGATGAGTATTCGATTAAACTTTCAATACATTGTTCGTTTCATTTTGGTTGGCCTTATTCATATACACATACACACACAGAACACATGCACACATACATATATTTTATAAACATAATCCTATATATGTTTTTTTTTGGGTTTCTGGGTGGAAATCGATTCAACGACAAAAAATGAAAATTGGAAATAACAGCATTTCGGTACGTGAAAATGAAACACAATTTCCGGTATTTGTGGAATCTGCGATTACAAGTGAATTGATGTTGTTGCTACTTGAAATGAAGCACGAGAGAGAGAGAGAGAGAGAGAGAGAGAGGGGGATAGAAAGAGAGAAAAATTATATCGAAAGGAAAACGAATCTTATCACAATAATACAATACAATGGTGATCCATAAAGTCAGTGGAAACAAGTGTCGACATTGCAAATCGAAGTGCTGTGATTCGTGATTTTCGCACGACTTGATGCGCGTTCGGTCCATCTACGGTTGGCGATTAGAATAAATGAGCGCACGCAGTTGAGCAAAAGCGAAAAAGTGTGTGGAAGAGACAGAGAGAGAGAGAGAGAGAGAGAGAGAGAGAGGAAGAGTGAAATCAACCGAAATTCTTACTGTATTTCAGTGGCTGACTATTGGGCCAATACGGAGCTCGTCGAATAGTTGCTGCCTTGTACATATCCTGGCTGTTTGATGCGTCACTGTTATCCGATAAAGATTTCAGTAGAGCGAATTGATTGCTGTTCGCAATCAAGTCACATGAGTTACGGTCCAAATGCATATTGAATTTTCCATCCATTTTGATAAGATCGTGCTTTTTTCGCTGCTCCTGATGTTGGTGCCGATGATGTTGATGTTGCGAATATTGGATGTTTGGCTCGATGTTGCCATTCATTGGCTGGTGGTGCTGGTGATGGTGTTGATGTCGATGGGGTAGCACAGGTATTTGAAGCAGAGCAGCTGCCTTAGGTGCAACATTTTTTGGAATCTCATACTGTATGTGCCGTTCGTTCACATTCTCTTTGGCAAACGCATGAAAAAATTTCGTTTTCGTTTTTACGGGCAGAATGGATTGTGGCATGGACGATGATAAAGATGACAACGATGTTGTCGTCATCGTTGTCGTTGGCGGTACCATCGATTGTAATCGATCGCTTGTGTTGGTCATTGGCTGTTTAACATTTCGGTTGAAATCTTTGCCAAATCGCTCGGAAACGGCATCTTTCGATATGATGGTATGCTTTTGTACCGGTCCAGTGGCGCTATCAATTTTCGAACTACCACCGTTACTCGTCACCGTCGACGACGATGATGACGATGACGACGATGACGACGACTTCCATCTTGAGCCAAGCATTCTGAACGATGCACGAACCGATTTACTGCGACGAAGTATTGGCGACGGCGTTGAATCGGGCAGGCGTCGATACGTAGTGGAATGGTCGTTTTCGTTATTCATAAGCATAACATTCGTCTTGTTCGGGACACACTCGACTGGAATTCTACAAGTTGATGTGAAGTGGACAAAATCTAGAGCGGTTAGCTTATATTGGCTTAAATGTACAACCATTTTTGGGCTTCTCAAATAACGATAATCATCGTAATCATTTTTTGATCAAATCAATTCAATTTCATTCATTATTATGAAAATCCCGGCATTAAATTCCGCATGGAAAAAAAGAAAGAAAAGAGGATACACATTACATCGCGTATATAGTCGACGATTATCGTCTACAATGAACCTTTTGATGGGCAGCATACTTTATTTGGTTGCGTTCTGTCGGCCATTGAACTATTACATTTCACCGAATGAATGGAATGGTCGAACGAACGAAACACACTCACTTTTTGACCGCACCGACAATTTGAAAATTGCCCCTCTCTCGTAGCAAGTAATTTCATGGTGTTGTCAAAGGGCAAATTGTATTCTGTGTATAGTGTGTACTTACATAGAAATCTGCTTGTTTCAATACAACATTAAAAACCAATAAAGTAATCGATGCGTCAATGGCACGTGGATATATGTTTAACTATGATTTTGTAAGCTGATAGAGTCAATGAGAGCAATCAACCTTATCAATTTGGTAATGGCACAATTTTGGTTACACTATAAATCAAATATCTCTATCGTAACACACACACAAAAAACGAAGAGCGACACCGAGCGATTTAAAAGTTTACTCATCTTTGATATTTTATAGTGATTAGAGTGAATAATAATATATATTTGGTACTTGAGTGTTTTTGTTGGGTGGAGATTTCGATGGAAATTGAACCAATCCGACACCCCATTCACCTTTCATTACAGTAAACAAAAGTGAAAAGTACAGCAATAGAGGAAGAAATGAGTCATTGGTTTTCTCTGGCAAAAGGAACAGCACGTGTGGTAAAGAGAAAGTGTTTGTGTATCTGGCACAAATTACGAGCACATTCATCACTGTTGAATGTACTGATTGCGTAATGAACAAATTAAATAGCCCTAAGTTGATGAAGAAAAGCACAAAATCACAAGACGTGATGCCATTTACCTGACGATAATTCCGAATATATTCGTATTTTTGTGTCACATGACATCTGCAAATTCGTCTATTCATTTCGGACGCCATTGAAACGATAAATTTCTACGAATCGTTCGTTCGTTCGTTCGGTGATGATGGCGTCAACCAGCAAGAGATTTAGATGGAGATATGAGCAACAAACAATTTATTCATAATATTGATTTTAACTTGCAAGTCATAAAATAGTGTGTGTGCGCGTGCGACATTTCATTTGCGTGAAAACACTTATAATAATGTTAATTTATTGCAACCGCCTACCAAATAGATATCAATTACATCATGTAGCTGTCATCAAATTAAAGCAATCGAAAACACAATAGCGTTGTGCTTGGTGACATAAACGGAAGAATACGGCGAATGCGAGGGCAAAGAAAGGAGCAACGGGAGAGTGTGAGAATGAGTGAAAATAGGGAAAAACACGACCAAAAAGTGCTCGGCACCACTCGAGCACTGTTTATTGCCAACGCTACGGTTTTTAATGTCTGGCTTTTATGTTGAAAGCGTGTAGTCTAAATGATTCATGTACGCATTCGTAGCACAGTTGGCAAACGCTAAGATAAAACAAATGTGCTTCCTATCTTTTGGTCGGTGTCTCTCTCCCTTCGTGCCACCCCATCCCCCATGAATCTCTCTCCAAACGTGAGGTGAACTGAACGAATATTTGCCGATATACGGAAATTCCAAACAATGAAGCGAACGAGGATTGTCACCCATTTCGATGTCGATTCAACTTTATGTCAATGTAATTACTAATACGGTTACAATGAAATTATGACAAATGCTTTCTCTCTCTTATATACTCTCGAATTGTCGTTTGCATTTTGCCACCAAAGGCTTAGAAACTATGCACCCTCGTTCACTCTGCTGCATACTCCGATTTTCCGGGGGGAAAACCCCGTATGTGTATATTCAATTTCGGAATTTCACTATTGGCTCCAATTATTCATTGTCCATAAAAAAGACAGGAATAAAAATCGTCGAAATGGAGAATATTATTGTCATGAAATTAATCTGCGTTTTGTTCTCGCACCAGCAAAATGTCTCTGAATCGTTTTCAGCTAAAATCCATTAATGTGTCTCTCTATTGCAATTGGGGCATTCGGTATTTTCCGTTCAACAGAAAGAGAATTTCACATATCGTACTTGAAATCGTGCACGCTATGGAGCATTATGAACCAAAAAACGACAGAAAAAAATCCAAACAACAACAGAAAAAAATCCAAACAGTACCACAATGCATATCAATTGGTATGATGCGATCCATTTCATGCTTATGGAAACATCGACATACCCAGTATGAAATATTTCGTTCGTCAGAATTATAATTCCATGTAAATGGGATATGACATGAAAGAGCATACAATTTTGCAGCAATGCGTACCGTGTCCTGTTTATTCTGATTAAAATATGGTTATTCGCACCGTGCGCGCACACACGGCATTCCCAAATCCACTCCACATATAGCGAATATAATATGTGAAGCGAAAATGCGATCGCAACCAAGTGAACGAAATAAAAGTATCCGTGAATATTGAATGGTTTCGGTGGTTGCCGCGTGTTAACAAGGTAATCTTCCAGAATTTATCGTATTTACCATATTTACATATGCATCGATGGTGGTGCTGGTGGTAGTATCGAGGGCGTACGGAATACTCTCTGCAGCGACTGATTTCAATGGCAAACGAATCCACATTATGCGGTTTCATTGAAAACATTCAACAACAATAA